CAAAGTATATACGTATTTGGCAAACGGGCCGAAATTTATTAACAAGACACAAGGAACGCATAAGAAACATAAGGTTTAATAAAGAAGAATCAGCCTTTGCCGAGCACATATTAGATAAAAGTCACCAATACTGGCCTATCAAACAAAATATGGAATTGTAAGATTTGAGGCTTTCACGGCGGTGACTATGAAGAAAGCAGTCTTCTGGGATTTGGCGCCGTGTATATGTGGTGTTAACCGACGTTTCGGAGGAACGTATCGCCTCCATCTTCAGGGTAGAAGAAAAAATATAAGAAATCTGCAAGCGAAGAGACCGTGAGTACCGGTAATACCGGTTTCTGCTTTCTTCAAAATATGGAATTGATCGAATACGCCAGAAAGGGTAACATCATGAATGTAAAAGAAAATTGAAGAAAGCAGTCTTCTGGGATGTGGCACCGTTTAGATGTGTTAACCGACGTTTCGGAGGAATTGTTCCTCCGAAACGTCGGTTAACACTACATCTACACGGTGCCACATCCCAGAAGTCTGCATTCTTCATAGTCACCGCCTTGAAAACCTCAAATCTTACATAAAATAAAATTGTTATATTTACAAATTTAAACAACTTAAGGAACTAACAGAAGAATAGAAGGTTACAAAAGATAATGATAACCAGAATAGTATGTTTGATATAGCATTAAGACGTGAGTACAAGCCCATAAAACGTCACAGGGAACAGGGATATAAATACCACACACAACACAGCACAAACCAGTGCCTTAACAAACTACGAAAGGAAAAACAGCTCAACAACACAAGATGAAACCAAATAAAAAATACAGTAAAAGAAATATTAAGTTAGTGCATAGACTTTTATGTAAAATATCCATAATATAATTGTAGACTCTTAACCAACTATAGAAGGAAGAGAAAAACCACTATCCGGACCTCCGAGGACAGCAACCTACCCATCTTCCGTTGATGGAAGGGGCACAAAGACACGAACCTTAGCAGTTTAAGATTTTAAATATTAAGATTTTATTTAATATTTTAACTTATCACATTCTAGCTTAATTTAAAATCTTTATATACATAAAACATCAGCTCACAGATGGCGGTGAGGTTTTCAGCCTTACGCGCCGGCCACCCTTTACCCCCAGAAATATTCATGGTACTCATTTCTGTTAGAGGCTGAGTCGGCTCCGGGGTNTCCGCCGGCCGGAAGATTGGAGAATGGCTTCATCTGATCAAAAAACTGTGAAGCTCGTGAGTTGATTCAGTCTGAACTAGGAGGGACGTGAACAGTGAGTCCTCTGCTGACAGCGACAAGATAGGAGCATGAAGAAGTGGAACGGTGTCCAATGAAGTGGTAGTTAACTAAATCAAAATAACTGCTCCACAATATAACTGTAGCTGTAACCTTTATCATGTATATGTTCATTTGTGTCATCTGTTGAACATGTAAATTACATGTGCACTGTATAAGTCTCTAGTACTCTTGTACTGGTATTGTGGATGCCACCAGGATTATTTCCAAGGACAGAGAGCAGCCAGAAACTTTGCTTACAAACTTATATTTAAGTCTTGCAAGATCCGACGTTTTCACATCGGTGACTACGAAGAATGCCGTGTTCTGGGAAGCGGCGCCGTGTAGGTGGCTGCTCACGCTGGTTCTTGCTCGCAGATTTTTCTACCCTGAAGATTGAGGCGATACCTTCCTCCGAAACACAAGATCTACAAGGCGCCACATCCCAGAAGACGGCATTCTTATATTTAAGCTGTTTAAAATTATTATTGATACAAATGTATTATTGGGGCACGCAGTAGCGTAGTTGGTTGAGGGGCTATGCTACAAGCCGGAAGGTCACGAGTTCAAGTCCCAATGAGGTCACTGGATTTTTTCAGTTGACCTAATCCTTCCAGCCGCACTATGGCCCTGGGGTTTACTCAGCCTCTAACAGGAATGAGTACCAGAAATTAATTAAACAATTTTCTTGGGGAGTAAGCGCGGCCGGCGCGTAAGGCTGACAACCTTACCGCCATCTTTGAGCCGATTGTCTAGATAATGTGGGACCCTCAACGTCTCAGAACCCTATGGGCCTTCACGGCCTGGTACAGGGATAGCTTTACTTTTTTTACTTTTACAAATATATTATTATTATTATTATTATTATTATTATTATTATTATTATTATTACAGGTCTCAGGACCAAGCAACTTGAATGTTACGGCAACGTTTGCACCTCCGATTTCTACATGGCTCAACGATCTGTGCTACGATCGCAATTTATTTCCCAACAGATAAACCGTTTACCGGTCTAAGGTTCGCGGTGATGGTGTTTTACCAGTCATTACGGCCAGCCTGGGCTCCTGCAGCCGCGGGTAGGATTTAGAACTCTACTCTGAGTATGTGCTTGTTGATAACCACTAATTTTCCCCTGGAATCAAACCGGAAGTTATTACTATTTTCGCCATCTTGACACTCTGGACACTAGCAATACTCGCGTCATTTTATTGGGGGGCTTCAGTGCTCCTGGTTTTAACTGGGAGAGCGGCACACATCTACTTAAATGCCACTATTATTCTAAACTCTAAGTGGATTGTATATACACCTACACATACCTTCTTGGCCTAAGGCATTGCGTTGAAGTTGTTGACAGTCTTCATATGCTTGACCTAGTCTCTGCAAATTTCACTGATCTAAAATCTATTCCTGCCGACTCTGGATTGGTCACGCTTGACAGATCACCCTCCTTTGAGTATTGATGTCTTTTTACCTCATGTTAATAGTAATATAAATTTTAAATTCAGTTATCGAATTTTCGCAGCAGGAAACTACACTTTGCTTTACAACATTCTATTTACGTATGATTGGTCAAGCGTGTATGAAACTTCTTCTGTTGATGTAGCAGTGGCTAGCATCAATGCTGCTATCGGAGTTGCCATGGAGCAAGCAATACCTCTTGGATATAGCTGCAAGTTTAAATTCCATCGATTGTGTTACTGTATCTTAAGGTATTATTTCCACCGTCTCTTTCAAAAGAAACCTTCCGATTACTATAAGAGACATTCGCCTTTTACCGAAAACTCGTTAAAAACACCACAAGTCCGACAGGCTTAGATGGTTCAAGCTAAATGACAACAATTTAAAGTCACAATCCCACCATTTCTGGAAATACATATCTAATTTCAGAAAATATAGCTACGGTTCCATTCAGCTAGAGGCTGACTGTACACACTTAGTCCAGCCCAATGCAGTTGCTGATGCTTTCGCTAAACACTTCAGATCTGTTTATAATAACCATTGTTCTATGGACTTTCCCTTCTCTTGCAACCTTCAGAATTTTTATCCCTTACCCAACTTCCGATACGGATGTCTGTAACGCCATTAAGAGACTAAAACTTTCCAAATCTGTTGCACTTGACGATATCCCTGGATTTATCATAAAAAGCTGTTCAGATATTTTATTCCAATTCTTAGACATGTATTTAACTTAAGCCTGAAACAACAGTATTTTCCTGCTGCATGGAAAGAAGCTGCCATTGTGCCCATATTTAAAACAGCAGGCATGTCACTGTGAACAACTACTGACTCATTTCTATTCTCAGTATTTTTTCTAAGTTGGTTGAATTCATTATTCGTGATTATGCTTTGTATTGCGTTAAACTTAATCTAAATCAACGTGACTTCACCAGAACTAAATATCAGTTACAAATTTAGTGACGAGTCTTGACTTTTTAATTCCTGTTGTCCGCTGTGAGCGTCATGCAGGTGCTGCCTATTTTGATCTTTCGGATGCTTTTTACCTTGTCCCCCAAAGTATGCTCTTGCATAAATCAAGCTCCTTCGGATTTGCTGTTTCTTATATTAGCTGGTTATGCAGTTACTTAAGCAACAGAGAATCTCGGGTTCGTATTTCTGGTACAAAATCTCCCTGTATTTTCAAGTAAAGTCAGATGTGCCGCAAGTCTCTCTTCTGGGGCCCTTTCTTTCGACAATTCATTAGTGATCTATGCAAATCTGTTAACTACTGTGAAATTTTAAGCCTTGCTCGTGGTCTCAAAATTTTCCGCGTCATTAACTCACCACATGTTTACCACTTACTGCAATCTGGCATTAATTCCGTGAGTGACTGGTGCACTGCTAACTCCACGAGACTTAATATTGCTAAAACCCGTGATGTGCCACACGTCAGGAAAACAGATTTTATGAATTATAAATATCGACTTTGTCATGCTACCATTACAAGCACCAGCAGCATTAAGGACCTGGGTGTTTTCTTTGATTCAAAGTTATATTTTCACAGTCTTGTTGGTTACTTTCTGAATGCACAAAGCTTTTAAGCCTTATTCCTCTATAACCTACAGATTTTCCTCCATGCACTGTTTTACGTATGTGTTGTACTTTACTTTAGTCAGGTCCAAGTTGGAATACGCCTCGGTAGTTTGGAACTCTTATCACGTCCACTGATGTCAGTAAGCTTGAGTGCATCCAGCAGAAGTTTGCATCCGTCTGTTTTTATCGTTTTTTCCCTTATGTTCCATATACTTATACTGTTGCCTTAGATAAATCCACATTCCTTACATAAAATTATACACCACCTTGGGGCAGTTTTTTTTTTTTGTTCAGGTGTATCGTGGCCTTAAATCTGGCACTTCTCTTCTGGAAAATGTTAGCCTTCGTGTTCCTCCCAGCAATCTTAGGGACTTCCATTGCTTGGTGTTTGTCCCTCTAATAAACACTGTCCTTCTACTCGTTGCGCCTTTGCTGCCAACGCAGTGGGTAAAGATCTCGACATATTTGCAATTGGAGCCGTTTTCCTCAATCATATTTATGCCCAGCTACCTAAAATTGTAATATTATTTGTTCATAACCTATGTTATGTGTTACGCAGTCCTTAGTAATCTTGTCCTTGTTACCTCTCTTCACCTTTGTTTGTTTACTTTTTCTGTATTACAGTATGTTTTCTTCCTCCAGCGCTTGCTTGTAATTTGTCTTTGTCTTTATTTTGTTTCAGTCCATAATGTGTATCTATGCCGTGCTGGGGGCACGCGGTAGCGCAGTTGGTTGAGGAACTATGCTACAAGCCGGAAGATCGCGGGTTCGATTATCGACGAGTTCATTGAAATTTTTCAGTTTACCTACTCCTTCCAGCTGCAACATGGCCCTGGGGTCGATCAGCCTCTAACAGAAATGAGTAGCAGGAAGATTTCTGGGGGGTTAAGGACGACCCTCGCGTAAGGCTGACAACTTTACCGCCATCTGCGAGCCGATTGTCTACAAGATGTGGGAGCCTCGACTTCTCACACCTCTACGGGCCTACATGGTCTGTTACAGGGACAGATTTTTTTACCTTTACACAGTGCTGTGTTTGTAATTGACCTTGTAGCTGTTGACTCGGCGTATAAATAATAAAGAATTGAGCTCAGTTATCATCATCAGTTTGCATGTTTCCTTTTCTTCAAATTTGACATTTTAGAAAATTCTGGCTCTAGACAGATGCCTATGCCTAGTTCGTCTACCCCTCACCGGCGTCCTTACCTGACATGAAATAGGATTTAGACGTTCCATCTGTCCAAACGTCGTCGTGCCTTCAGTAGCTAGCCGTAACCAACCAACCCCAAGGAGCTCGGCCCTTCTTGAGAAGCCGCCAATTCCCCAGCTACTCAAGGATTTTCCAACATCTTTTGGAACCCGAAGGTTCATTACCGTATTCACAAGAGCCCTCCACTGGTCCCTATCCTGAGCCAGACGAATCCAGCCCATACCACTCCTACCATTCTGGGATCCATTGTAATATTAACCTCCTACCTATGTCTTGGTCTTCCTAGTGGTATCTTTCCTTTTATATTTCTCAGTAAAATCCTATATGAATGCTTCTTCGCTCCATGCGTGCTACATACCCTACAAATCTCATCCTCTCTGACTTGATCATTTTAACTGTACTTAGAGAAGAGTACATCTTATGAAACTCCTCATTATGCAGAGAGCAGTCTTCTGGGATGTGGCGCCGTGTAGATATTGTGTTATCCGACGTTTCGGAGGAACCTGTCGCCTCCATCTTCAGGGTAGAAGAAAAAAAAAAATTCCGCAAGTGAAAAACCAGTGTGAGCAGGTGCAAATAGACTAGATTAGTCTATTAGAGGCGATACGTTCCTCCGAAACGTCGGTTAACACAATATCTACACGGCGCCACATCCCAGAAGACTGTTCTCTTCATAGTCACCGCCATGAAAACCTCAAATCTTACATCCTCATTATGCAGTTTTCAGCAACTTCCTATCACTTCATCCTTCTTCGTTCCAAATATTCACCTCAGCAATCTGATCTCAAACACCCCCAGCTTAACTTCCTCTCGTAACGTCAGAGACCAAGTTTCACACCCATACAAAACAATAGGCAAAATTATAGTTTTGTATATTCTAAGTTTTACGTTTTTAGACAGCAGACGAGAAGACAAAAGGTTCTGGACTGAATGGTAGCAAGCAAGGATTTCCTCCTGGCTCAAATTTTGATTTGTTAATATCGTTCTGAGCCATATTATCTACACGGATTTTTCGGAAGTAGCGCCTTCCGGTCCGGTACCCTCTCTTCTTTAACACCCCCCCCCCCCCCNGCATCCGTGTCCTGGCTCGTTTACCGCGGACCATCATTCCTTTTTACCACGTGATTTTTCGTTCCCCTCGTGTTTGGAAAGGAAGGCTTCCATAGTTACGGGCGAAGAAATGAAAACGGTCTGTTGTTTATCATCGGTCGACGAAGTTGGCGGCAAAATTCCCTTTCGATCTGGTCTCTCCAAATTGTGTTCCGATTCTTCGCTCCAGCCGTTGAGGTGAAGGGGCCTCCTGGTTGCAACGGTAACGTAAGTTTGGAAGCTGCGACAAGGTGTCCTGTTTCATAATAACTATTTTTATTGAGTTTGCTACTGCCCCATACAGTGTTACTCTTATGACCATATAATTGGATAATACAGCGATCTTGGTTGCGTCGCAATGTTACGTGAGTTTTGGCGATTTTCCATGTCTGGGGTTCAAGGTGGTCGAAATCTAATTTTTGCACCTGTTGCAATGCATGTTTGTATTGCTGAACAAGTGGTTAGAGTGTCTGTTATTTTCTTACTGTTCTGAGTTGTATGTCATGAATTTATATTTTACTTTTATGAAATACTTTTTATTTTGAGATGCCACCTTTTCTTGAAGCAGACCTAGGCCTGGACACCAAGTTCAATCTGGGACCCAGGGATGCATGCAGCCACCCTACCCAAGTATAGAGTACGTAGAAACAGGAAGGAACTGCTAAGCTCTCAAGTACTTGAACTGTGCCATATTTTCAAAGCATCTATTAACTGTCTTTATGTGTTGAGTTCTCCCTGCAATCTAGTCACGAGACATCAACATGTACTTAGTTTCCTCTGCGCTTACTTTTAGAACAACCTACTTACTAGAGTCAATTAGAGTTTTAGTGTTGTTTTTTCTTTCTAGTATATATGTTATCATCCAGCTTATTGGCGATAATCAATATGGATTTCGACGTAACAGATCAACAACTACAACTGTTGTATTCGTCAGAGACTAAGGTAAAAAGTAAAGCTATCCCTGTAACAGGCCGTGAAGGCCCATAGGGTTGTGAGACGTTGAGGGTCTCACATTATCTAGACAATCGCTTAAAGATGGCGGTAAGATTGTCAACCTTACGCACCGGCCACGCTTTACTTCCCAGGAAAATTATTTAATTAATTCCTGGTACTCATTTCTGTTAGAGGCTGAGTCGACCCCAGGGCCATAGTGCGGCTGGAAGGATTAGGTCAATTGAAAAAAATGTTCAATGACTTCGTCGGGACTTGAACCCGCGACCTTCCGCCTATGATTTAATTAGGAGGGTAGTATTGTACAATATTCTCATAGAGTTTGGGGTACCCATGAAACTAATTAGACTAATTAAAATGTGTTTAAACGAAACATATAGTGAAGTTCGTATAGGTAAACATTTGTCTGATAGTTTTCCTACCCAGAATGATCTAAAATAAGGAGATTTTTAGCGCCACTCCTTTTCAACTTTGCCTTAGAATATGCCATTAGGAAGGTCCAGGACAACCATGTGGGACTGAAATGAAATGGGACACATCAGCTGTTGGCATATGCTCATGATGTGAATCTACTGGGTGATGTTATAGATACCATAAAGAAAAACACACAGACTTTAATTGATGCAAGTAAGGAGGTTGATCTAGAAGTAAACACATAGAAACTACGTATATGTTGCTGTCTCGTCACCAGAATGCAGGTCAAAATCATGACATAAACACATGTTTTGAAAATGTAGCACATTTCAGATATTTGGGAACGACGATAACAAATCAAAACCTGATTGAGGAGGAAATTAAGAGGAGATTGAACTTAGGTAATGCTTGCTACCAATCAGTCCAGAACCTTTCGTCTTCTCATCTGCTGTCCAAAAACATAAAAGAAAAAAGAATATACAAAACCTATATTTTGCCTGTGGTTCTGTATGGGTAAGGGAGGAACATACACAGTGTGTCCAGGTTCTGTTAGAACTGTGTTCATAGAAATAGAAGACGTGAATTATTTTCAAAATTTCACCCTTTATATCAAAATAGTCTCCTTCTGAATCATTACATAGCTGGAATCGATTAAAAAGTTTTCGAAAACAGTCACTGTACGCCTTTTGTGGAATCGCATTTAAAACTGGGGTACATTCCCTTTGGATGTCCTGGATGTTGTCCTGACCGTCTCCTTTCATCGCCAACTTAATATTTGCCAACAACTGTTATATGGTACGACGTGCGACTTGAAGTGGTAGCTGGTCGAAGCAGTCGTTTCGTCCCATATAAACAAATTTAGGTATCTTAGAGTCTGTCCAAAGATTTACGTGGGGATCGCCGGTAGCTGTGTGTTTTACCGGGGTGCCAAGAAATTGCAGGTGACGAAACGGATGTGGAGTGTAGTGAAGTCCAATCGAAGTTAGAAAATATTCAAAGTCCAGTGTGGTAGAAGATAGGATAGGTTTATTAAGCAAAGCGACGTACAGTTGAACAGACCAGTTATTAACAAGAGAGCTCCTGACCCTCAGGAGAGAGTTTATATTCAAACTAAACTAGGCATTGGCTCAAAGGAATGTGCTTTGTACTCCCAGTCCTTTTACCTGGTCATGATCCCTAAAATTAATAGCCTTTATGTTCCTCTCAATTAGTGAGTATTGCTCACTAACGCTTTGTTTATACAGTGTTAATGTGAGGACCAGAATGAAACAATTCCAAAGCCTTATTTACACTTCTAAACTGTCGAAGGGTTGTCAGTTTTATAGCTGCGTGTGGCTTTACTTTGCAACCATACCCAGTATTAATAAGTATTCTGCGGCATGTTTAAGAGTTCGTGGTTAATGCACTGCCGTGACAGCGGGCAATAATATCAGAGTGCTCGCTGGCTTGTGTATTTTGACAGCCCGAAATAACAGAGGGCTTGGTTCCTATGACACAATCAGAAATCTGCTGGAGCCAAATCTGGCGAATACGGAGGATGATCAAGGACTGTGATCTCTTTTCTGGCCCAAAAATCGCGCACGATCTTCGATTTGTGGGGTGGGGCATTGTCATGGAGGAGTGGCCAGGAACCTTGCTCTCGATATTCAGGTCCAATTCGAAGAATTATCGCCCACAAACGATTGAGGACTCCAAGATGATAATCAGAATTCACTCTTTGATCTTATGGCAGAAATTCCTTGTGAATGATTCCTTTGGAATCGAAGAAAACGGTTAGCAGTGTTTTTACTCGACTCTTTTGCATGCACACTTTCTTTGGTTCGGCTTCTTTGGGCTCAACCACGCTGCACTCTGCCGCTTTGTGAGAGGCTCATATTGAAAACACCATGTCTCGTAATCAGTAAGAATCGATTTTGTAAATTTTGTATCACTTTGGGCCCACCGTAACATGTCTTTGCAGTGTTCCGTTCTGGCATGTTTTTCATCGCCTGACAGCGCGTGCGGTACAAACTGCGCACAGACCTTCCGTTTGCCCAAATCCTCGGTCAAAATTTGATGCACAGTAATTTTTGGTATTCCCAAAAGCTCCTCGAAGAGTGTTGCAGAAACACATCTGTCTGATGTAAGGATTTCGGTCACTTTTTTCACATTTTCTTCAGTGCGACTTGTTCTCGGCTTCGATGCACGTGGAGCGTCTTCAATATCCTCCCTGCCGTCACGAAATACAGCATACCATCGAAAAATGTTCGAGCGATTCAAACAATCACTATCGTACACACTTTTCGTCATTTCGTACACTTGTCCGGCTGTTTTGCCCAAATTAAAACAAAATTTGATGTTGTCTCTCTGTTCAACCGCCATTTTCCGACGAGCATATCAGAACAGCACTGTTACATTCAAGGCCAGAACACATGATGCAGCGATGCTTGCGCTTTGAAATTATAGACGGTCACAGCTGAAACTTCAGGAATCTTAACGCCACAACTCGCAACAGATGGCATTGCAAAAAAAAAAAAAAAAAAAAAAAAAAAAAAAAAAAAAAAAAATCCTAACGGATCCTGGGCACACGGTGTAGACGGAGAATGTTTGAGAACGGGATGTCGAGGAGACTATTTGGACCGAAGAGCGCTGAAGTGACAGGAGGTTGGAGAAAACTGCACAGTGAGGAGTTTCATAACTCTTTTCCGAGTATAATTAGAATGATTAAGTCATGGAGGATGAGATGGGCAGGGAATGTAGCACGAAAGAGAGGGAAGAGGAATGCATATAGGATATCGGTGGGGAACCCAGAAGGAAGGAGACCACTGGAAAGGCCAAGGCATAGGTGGGTGGTAAATATTTAAATGGAAGTTAGAGAGATAGGATGGGATTGGATGGATTGGACTGATCTGGTTCAGGAAAGGGACCAATGGAGGGCTCTTGCGAATACGGTATAGAACCTTCGGGTTCCTTAAAATGCTTGGAAGTTCTTGAGTAGTTGCGCAAGTGGCGGCTACTCAAGAAGGGCTCAGATCCACGAGTGAGTAAATATTAATTTGGGATGGAATAGGCTAATGGAAGTCTACCTTGAAGCAGATGACTGTGATGAATAAAAAAGGATTAAATGCTCTTGAGTATAATTTTGACATGAATGCAAAAACATTTGCTTGCCTTAGTAAGTGCAGTCTTAACCTTACACTAAGGATCACGCGTTTCTTTCTTACTAGCATATGCTCGTCCGAACTAGAACCCGTAATTTTCGTCGCGCGTACCACCCTACACGTCGCAGTATTACTTACGACACCCTATCATTAACCATCTCTACTGTCTTAACTACTGATATGATTCTCGTAAGTATGAAAAACCTGTACCAAATTCGTAATTCTCATTCATCTTTCCATAGAAAAATACATATTTTCCTGCTGATTCTGTGTGACTACTGTCCCGTCTGTGCCACTAAATGTAACGCTTCTTTCACTTGCAGACTTCTTACATTCCATGTACCAGATCTCATATCCGTTTACCTTAGTACAGGTCATTTATCCAAAAAGTCCGTCTACGTGATGTGATGTAAAGCCCAATGTGACATTTCGTAACAAACTTATTTTTTTCGGTGAGAAGCTGTTAGCCCCACTCCCAACCCCAAACTGTGGGACCACACCTTGCCTGCTCTACACGACTGTTTATTCGATATATTTACAGCTACCTTCAACATCTGGAGGCCATCTCCTACATCCGCAACCTGCAGACGTGCCATGCCGCGGTGACAAGGGACCCGCTTAACAGGAGTATATTGTCACATATACGAGTTACTATAGGAAGGTTTTTTTTATTGCTGGTGGGGTGGGACTAAGTCCCTTGTACTGCGGCCATTTCTGGCCTATTGTACCAGCCCCAGATGATAGGTGAGGGTGATTGTGGAGCAGTTGGTGGAATGAAGATGGGCAGGGAAACCGAAGTACTCGGAGAAAACCTGCCCCAGCGTCACTTTGTCCACAACAAATCCCACTTGACCAGACCCGGGATCGAACCCGGGTGACCGGGGTGGAGAGCCAGCGACTAACCGCTTGAGCTATGGCGCGGCCTAGGAAGGGTTTGGATTGGTGACTCAATTTATTGAACTCTTATACACTCACGACTTGTGACTATACTTTGCAGATCACTGACCCACATAGACTAATCCTCTCAGTCTATTAGAATCTTCATTAGCCGTTTCCTCGGAATGGATTTTAACATAGGAATTATAACACGTCACGCACCACATAGAGAACACAGTTGCTCTGTTGCTGTACCATTGTTGCTTTCATGTCTGTTGCTGCGGGAATATGTTTATCCATGCAGTTGCGTAGAAACGGCTGTGGTACATCTGCATATCTCATGGCCGTTGCATAACAACTGTACACGCTACAATATAAATGTTGGTATGAGTAAATGTAGACGGCCTCTGTAGGCTAGTGGTCAGAGTTCCTGGCTACAGTTCCAGTGGTCCGGGTTCGATTCCCGACGCTGCCAGGTTTTCTGAGAAGTAGTGGGTCTGGAAGTGGGTCCACTCAGCCTCGTGAGGATAATTGAGGAGCTATTTCAAGGAATCAGCGGCTCCAGTCTAGAAAACCGAAATTAACCGCCATGAGGATTCGTTGCGCTGACCACGCGACACCTATCCGCCAAAGTTAGCATTAACTTCTCAGAGAAGCTGCGGGAGCTCGGTCGGTATAGTTCGCTTGTTGTCTACAACCACGGAGTTTTTTTTTATGAGTAAATGTAACCAGTGATTTTACCACGCAAAACATATCCACACAAGCTTTAGTATGGACAGTGGAGCCAATCATTCCGTTTTACAATAGTGAACCCGTAATTCAACAAACAGTTGTGTTTAAATCTGGTTGAAATATGTTTCTTATTTTTTTCTAACATTCGCAAAGTGTTAATGTTTGTTCTTTGCTTTATTAGAATATGTAGATGAATTCATAGCCTCGTTGCGATCTCAATAACGTTGGTATGACTGTGTATGTCAGACGAATGACGACATGTTCGAGAATATGGCTGTGTCTGGTACACGTTATAGAGTTTTAATTTCATGACTTAGATGGGTTAAATAATGATTTAATGCCAGTATTCTTATTGGTATAATATGGATTTTGGTTCATTGTTGTATGCTGCAAAGAAGAATGAGAATTCTGCCAAAAAGGAGGTGAGAATTCGTATCGTCAGTTTGGTAGACATTCAGGCCTGTAACATTGCGTAAATTTGTGGGTGCATATTAGGTTGTCGAACTGACACGTATAATGAAATAACATTTAAACACGAATATCGCCTACATTATATGATTCCCCCTTTTCATGTTGTAATTATTTAATATCGTATGCTTTTTGGCATACGTTTACAGGTGTTCGTATTTATTAAATTTCATGAACAACCTACGCACGGGCATGCAGCTACTACATATATAATTCTCTATGAATATACTTTAAATAAATGGATATATTATGTATTTTGAAAAAAAGAAACAGCTTTTGGCCTTCATATGAAGTTTACTTAAAATGTTAGACTTTAAAATGGGACACATGTTACGAACTACAATTTTTGCCTTCTTGACTTGTGTGCAGTGATATTAAACTTTACAGGCATGCATGGCCACGGTTCTATATTTAACTTATTGATTAACAAATGTATTTACTAATTATATTACTGGTCATTTTTCTTGTAGGTTAAGTGTTATAAGTCAACATTTGATCCACCAAAGAAAGAGCAAAAGTCAAAAGCTCTTTCAGCAAACATCCAGAAGTTTTTGGCAAGAAAAGAAGAAGAAGAAAGGCAGAAGGTTATTGAAGCCCAGAAAAAGAAGGATGTAAGTTTTGTTATGCTGTGTGAATTTTCAGTTTTTGAAATGTGATCTTTTGGTCCTGCTTTAATGAGCACAAGGGACTGTTTTCCTTGTAGAAAATGAGTGGTCCTTCTCTAAGTGATATGGCGTTGCAGATACAACTGGGATATTTTGTCTTATTGCCCACAGTGCCCTATAACTTTATGTCATAATTTCAGTAAGTTATTCTGGAAGCTGTTCTGAAGAAAAATGTTTTGTTAACAAGAGTATGTTCTCAACAATTTTAAGGGGGGGTGGGAGTGATAAGTTTCTGTTATACTAAGGTATTTTTTTTAACAACTACCAACTTTACAGTCTTAAACTATATATGGTTTTCCATATCTTTTGATTTTTTTGTAGTAATACACTTGTAAACTGATTTTTTTTCCAAATGACTAGTTTTTAAACAGTTTTGATAAAAAAATGTAGTACCATCTTGACTTTGTTACATTCAGTAATATTATTATCTTCATAAAGAGTAGTATAACTGTTGATATAAATTTCATGCATCTATGATGTGTAGTTTCTGAGAAAACAGTATCTATGTCTTTAAAACTTTGCAGGACAGTGGCTGAAAAAATAAAATGCCTTAAGTCACAGCAAAACAAATGAAAATCACAGTAGTTAACAGTGCTGTCAATGCAGAAATTTCTCTACCCAGTGGAGATATTCCCTTGAACCCCTGCAATTAAAAGTACAGTGTTCATTGCCATGTGTTATATAATTGAAATGGGAGTTTGCTGCCAGCTGTCACTTGGCATTTAATTGAATCAGTTCTTAATGGCGTTCTGTGAGGGTTTAGTGTAAAAAGAACTTTATATTACAGGTGTGCCATAAATTGCTGACAGTTTTATAAATGAAATAACTTTTGAAACCAAAGTTGAAAAGTTTATTAACACAGGCAGATACATTGCCATTTCCATTGATAATTTGTTTAAGCTTTATTGTTTGAATACAATACCTTCAAGATGACCTCCGTGTTGTTCAACACAGTCTTGCTGTCGAGACAGCCTGGATGCCATGTCATAGGATTTAATTAGGGATTCCTTGAATGCACTCCTAAATTCACTCTTTCAAGTCATCAGTATTGGTAGGATGTGTCATACACTTTGCTTTTGATGTATATTGCCAAAGAAAGTAATCTGCTGCTGAAAGATGATGTGAGTGAGCAGGCCAGTTGATGTCCTTGAAACAAGAAATGAGTCTACCTGGAAACATATCCATGAGAACTGCCGTGGAAATCTGTGCTGAGTGAGTAGTTGCTCTGTCTTGTTGAAACTGCAGTGAATTGAGCTGACAAAGATTTAACTTGTTTCACATAAATGTTTACAACATGCTTGTATACCACTCAGCTGTTACAGTTTGTGCCTCATCCTCAAAGAAACAGAGCAGTAATTCCACCAGAAGAAATTGCACACCACAGTGTCACTTTCACACTATGTAGTGGGTGCTGGTGATGATCACAGGTTGTATGCAACCCAAAACTGACAGTTTTGTTTATTCACGTAACCTGACGTGTGGAAATGTTGACATCGGTAATGAGTTCACAGTGTTGTGATTTTTGTTCACCAAGAGCATCCAAGAATTGATTGTGAAACTGAAATTTTTTCACCTTGCCCTAAGTTCCTGTGAAACTTGGATTTGTAAGGATAGCAATCCAAATTTTTGTGCAGAATTCACAGAATGCTACTGTCCTTTAAACCAAGAGCATGAACTTGCTGTCAATCTGACGCGTGGACTTGGCAACATGGCTTCTCGTAATTGTTCTGCATTGTCAGGTGTATGCACTGAACATTGATATCCATGACATTTACTGTCCTTCACCAATAGTCCTTGATGCCATTTCAGTTGGAAGCTAAGCTGCATAGCTGTAATTGGCTCTGTTCTAGTAAACAGTTCCGCAGCCACAGTGCAGTGTTGCACTGACCAGCACTCCGTCTGATTGAAACTCCAAAGAGCATATTACATGATGACTGTTAGTATGGAAGCATGGCATACTGGGAAAGATACTGTCAGATATTTCTGGTGGAACCCTTATCATAAATCATATTGTTGAATACCATAATTACCAAAAACCACAAAATTGATATTTTTTATGTAAACCATCTAACCCCTCAAATCTATGGGTATATGAAATGTAGCTTAACGTTTTTTTTATTGCTAGTGGGGTGGGACTAAGTCCCTTGTACTGGGGCCGCTTCTGGGCTATTGTACCAGCCCAAGATGATAGGTGAGGGTGATTGTGGAGCAATTGGTGGAATGAAGATTGGCAGGGGAAATCAAAGTATTCGGAGAAAACCTGCCCCAGCGCCACTTTGTCCACCACAAATCCCACTTTACCAGACCTGGGATCGAACCTGGGCCGCTGCGGTGGGAAGCCAGCGACTAACCGCTTGAGCTATGGCGTGTCCCTAGCTTAACTTGAAAGAGTTTACTACTAAAAAATAATTTTTATAGTGAAAAATTTAAAATGTTACATTGTACACTTTACTAATACTAACATTAAAGTAACTGCTCAAAATGTCTACTGTCAGCGTGGATGCACAGCCTGATTTGTTTCACTGAGGAACATATAACCTTACAAAGAACTGCAGTGTAAGTAATGTCTGTTGGCATCAGAAATTTGCTGAAATAGTTCATTTATGTTTTTCAAATGTTTCCATACTTGATAAACTGAGGGGCTGGGATCAAAGTTCATTGAGAGGTTCTGGGCTCAATTCCCGGCACTACCAGATATTCTGAGAAGTAATGGGTCTGGAATGGGGTCCACTCAGCCTCGTGTTGATAATTGAGGAGCTGTTTCAAGGAAATAGTGGCTCTGGTCTAGGAAACCGAGATTAACAGCCGTGGGGATCTTTTGCACTGACCACATGACATCCTCTATCTACAAAAGTTGGAACTGACAAGTGGTGGTTGCTCAGTCGGTGTAGTTTTTTTTTGTTTGTATTTAATTTAGTAGCTAAGCAGCTGTTTAGGTTCTGAAGAAGTACTCTAGTTTATTTGTTTGTTTTTGTTTTAGTGTTCCATCATGATGGTAATACATCTACATTTGTGTTCACATAGTGAATGTTCTTTTATAAGTATCAAACATAAATGCCACCTATCAGATGTCACAAGCTGTCCATGTGTGCTACACTTCAAATACATGTAGCTCCAAAACCACTGAGAATGGGACCTTTGTTAATATAATAGTTTGTATTCAGAATGACCTGAGGAGTCACTTGAGGTTATAAAGTTATGGGGACAACCTGTGTATCAGAAATAGGCAAGGTAACTTTGGTGCTGATATTGCAGGATAATGTCTCATTGAAAGCAGGAAATTTCTGCAAAACATTTTTTCCATTTCTATAAATTCTCCATAAAAATATCAGTATAAGTGTGAAGTATAATCATATAAGACTGAACCACACTATATGATTTTTCTATTCATACATATTGCCAGATTCAGGTCTTGCACTTAGATTGTCCTCAGTTTTCTTATTGCTATTTTCTAGACGGAAGTTTATAATTATTCCCTGAGTGTTTTTCTTCATGAGTCCACCAGTACACCATTATTATTTTTCAGTGGTTTTTACATGATTGCAAGCTTTCACTTGCGCTTTCTTGTGTCATTCTCTAAGCTTTTTGTGTAATTCTTTTAATGATGATGGAGAAAGAGCTTAAACCTTATGATATATTCCAGATTCATTCTGTAGAATTTGAATGATAGTTGGATCCTTTTTTATGCATGAAGTTATCAACATGTATGTAATGTTCAGAATGAGATGTCTTAGTAGCCCCTTGTTATAATCTGTACTCCACATCACTGTGATAGTCTTCTGAGCTTTAGTCTAAAATTAATTCCACCCTGTGAGTGATCTGTCCCCTCACAATATGAAAAACTATAGCTTTTTGTCATGCAGTGCTGTTCACCACATCTGTCAACACTTTATTGTGGTATACTCAGTGCTTGAGGTGGAATGAAAATAGAACTGGGATGGTTTTCCCAAAAAAAGGTATTGTACATTGCATTTACTGCCAAAGAAGTAACGGGATGCTTTTAAGCCATTTAGAAAAGAACCGGGATGCCATCCCGCCCCACCTCAAGCCCTGGGTATACTAGTTCAGAAATACAGTCTGTGGCAAATACAACTGTGTCATAACTTTAATTTGTTACAGCAATTATTTTCTTATATTTTTCAGATCAGAATTCCAAACATTTCACAATTTTCTGGGAAATATATCTTTTTGTTGTAATTTTAATGTTTGTTTTCACAAAGTTATAGGGTTTTACTGAGTATGAATTTCTTCTTCCAGTTCTTGTTGATCTAAAAACTTCTCTGATTACAAACACTTATCTCTTTAATCTTGCATGCTGAATTTTACAAGTGGTTATAACATCTCCTTTGCTTTATTCTGAATGTACACAGCCACTTTTTGTATTTATAACATAGTTTACAGTCTCTAAAGTAAAAAAAGTAAAGCTATCCCTGTAACAGGCCATGAAGGCCCATAGGGTTGTGAGATGTTGAGGGTCCCACATTATCTAGACAGTCAGCTCAAAGATGGCGGTAAGGTTGTCAGCCTTATGCGCTGGCCGCCCTTTACCCCCAAGAATATTCCTGGTACTCATTTCTTTTAGAGGCTGAGTAGATCCCAGGGCCATAGTATGCCTGGAAGGATTATGTCAATTGATAAAAATCCAATGACCTCATTGGGACCTGAACCCGCGACCTTCTGGCTTGAAGTGTAGTGTCTCAACCAACTACGTTACTGCCTGACCCAGTTTACAGTCTCTATAGCTCTTGCAATTGTTTCCTGCAAATGTATAACATTACTTTCACTGTGTTTCTCATCAGTAGAAAAAGTTAATGATGTTATAAGGTGAAATTTTTCCTGTGCTTAGTTAATTAAACACCATGCTATGAAGATGTATGAAGGAGTGGAGGTATACTTTCACCTTTGTTGAACTTAGCACCAGGTGAAAATGAGTGGTCAGCTTCACACCCCAGCCACGTTACGTCTAGGGAAAGAGCCTCTGGAACCCATTGCATTTGATGCTGGGTTGACCCTAGGGCTGGTCTTGATTCTGTGGAGTAGAAAAGAATCCTTATCCTTGCCTGAAATTGAACCCTGGCCGTTCACCCCATCGCTGTACTTCCTTAGCTATCCAAGCTTCTTTCTGATGATATAAGTGATTCTTTTCTCTTCCAATTGAACTACTTCTTGTGGCACTTTTGTGTAGGGGTACGCGGTAGCGTAGTGGTTAAGGTACTGTGCTACAAGCTGGAAGGTCACGGGTTGAAGTTCCGATGAGGTCATTGGATTTTCCTTGGGAGTGAAGCGCGGCCGGCGCGTAAGGCTGACAACCTTAGTTGGTTATTGGTTATTGTTAGTCGTGTAGTTTATGTAAACTACACAGCTAACAATAAGAACATACAATCAAGAGAAATAAACGACATCTTCCACCATAAGGAGGAAAATAACATGACCCAATGTTGGCTCACGATATTTTAACATAACTAATTTTTTACATACAAAAGAAATTTTAATACAATTTTAAATACATAGGGAAGCTATTGTATGGAAAAGTGAACATCATATCGCGTGCAGTGGGAAATCCCAATCAGAATACCCAGCAAATGCGCTTAAAAGAAACAGCATCATACGTAAATCTACACTTCAAGAAGTGTCGTCGTGAATGCTTAAGGCAAACAACAAACTAACTGTGATATTAACAAAAATTTATATAGTGAGCATTATTCGTAGCCTAAGTGCATATTGTTAAAACAACTTATGTGACAGTGTGTCCTGATCGTAGTGGTGCACCTCTGAGGATGATTGTTTTGAATCAAAACATGTAAGGTGAAATAAAGACTGAAGTGTTGTAAACTTGTATGTCACACTGGACTGAAAATTATCCACTTTGTAATTGATAGTGTGACGGACCAGAATGAGACAAATCAAATTCTATCCATATGTGCTTGTTATATAGCACATTTGGTTGCGGTGTAGCCAGATGGCGATGGTGAATAAATTGGGGGGTAATGCATGTGATACCTGACTCCACTGGAAAATGTTTTCCATCTTCATCCTTTCAGTCTGTAGACCGGGGATGGGTAACTGTTTTCTTTGAATATTAGAGTTAATTTTACCGACCACACAACACGTTTTTTATTTACTGTCGCACTACATGTTTCGACCTCAAGAGGTCATCCTCAGGTGTACGAACACAGTTGCACAATCACACGCAATCACATTCGTTTTTCCACTTATTTTTGATCCTGTATCCTGTATTTAAATTTTAAATTTTAACTTTTAAAATTTGTATTTTTAACTTATATTTTATAAGAAGAACTTGACACATATTATTTGAGCGTGGACCTAAACAGGATACAGGATCAAAAATAAGTGGAAAAACGAATGTGATTGCGTGTGATTGTGCAACTGTGTTCGTACACCTGAGGATGACCTCTTGAGGTCGAAACATGTAGTAAGAAAGTAAATAAAAAACGTGTTGTGTGGTCGGTAAAATTAACTCTAATATTCATTAAAATACACAACAGGATGCAACAAACAATTAAATAAAAAAAAACTGTTTTCTTTCATGGCCAAATTCTTCTCTGTCTAATGGCCACTTTAAGATCTTTTGTTGGGTTATTTTACAATGAATGTATCAGCTTTAAAGCTGTGTGTAATATTGATTGAAGACTGAATACCGAATAGCCAAATTATTATTTGTGATTTTTGTACTTAGCTTATTAATGGGTCACCCAAGTAAGTTGCCAGTTGAAGTTAATTTGAAAAGACAACCCCCAAAATATAACATAGACGATTTTTAAATATATTTTCAAAAACTAAATCAGTTGCTTAACACTTTGTCAACTTTTTGGTGGCAATCTGAGTGTAGGATTTGGATCTTGTTTTTACAAATAAATTTCTGAGGTTACAATATGGCACATAACATAGTGGTAAATTTTGAAGCTATTTGGAGCACATAAATACCATTTTTTCAATTTACCTAGTCCTTCCAGCTGCACTATGGCCCTGGGGTTGACTCAGCCTCTCAAAGCAGTAAGTACCAGGAATCTTCATGGGGGTTAAAGGGTGGCTGGCTGAGAACCTCACTGCCATCTGTGAGCTGACTGTCTAGAAAATGTGGGAGCCTAGACGTCTCAGTACCCTATGGGCCTTCACGGCCTGTTACAGGGATAGCTTTTAAATATCATGATCTGGAAACTGGCCTTGTGTGCAAGTGCGAACATATTTTTAAAAACAGTTTCTCTATTACAGATTTTATAAAAAAATAAAATATCTGATTTGAATATGAAATTGTAAAAATTATGAGTAAGTGAAAATAAAAAAAAAATTACATAAAGTGATTTCTGAATGTGCATTGCAGATGTTAAACATTTAAATTCAGGTGTGATGTCTGGTGATAGAAGTGAATGGAGTAAGATTTTTATATGGTTCCATTGTGTTGACTTCTTAAGCTTGTTTAATAAGAAAGCTTATTGAAAATGCAAATGCAGTCACACATGCATGAACAGCAGCCATCTTTTTAGATTAGCATAGCTTTTTTTATTTTTTCTTAAATTGACTTGTACATTGATGGTCAATAAATTCAGGTTGTAAATTTAATTCATCATCCTCATGTGTAGCTTCAGAATGTTCTGTGTCCTAAGCACAAAATCTAAAAGTCTGACTCTAAATGACTGTTGTGTTGGTCTGTGTGACGGGCATAGCAAGTAACATTTAGTACCCTGTATTGGTGAAATAATGGTAATGTCATTCAAAACCTCTAGCATCATTATAGAATTCAGTTAGCGATTGGTAATTCATTATTTGGTTCATTCAAATTTTCACAAATATCTATTAATATCAGCTTGTATGTCCAGTTTGCACATTTTCTGTAACAAGGAAAACATTAGTATGTTTGAATAATGGTAGGAATTGTTGCAGCAATGTACCTCTGCAAAGCTTATGTGATACTCAGGATACCATGAAGATTAGTGATGGGCTATGGACTGATGGCTCAGGTTTGATTCCTAGCATGGAAAAGGGATTTTTTTCTACTCCACAACATCCAGACTGGCTCTGGAACCCACCCAGCCTCTTTCCCAGTGGGTACTAGGGGATTTTTCCCCAGGGGTAAAGCAGGCGGGGCTTCAAGGTGATGTCTCACCTTCATCTAGTGCCGAGGTCAATAATGGTAGAGCTATATGTCTGCTTCCCCATTTGTGTTCATGATGTTGTGCATAATTAATTTAGCACAGGGCCAACTTGACCTTTACCATGAAGCTTGAAGTAGCTCATTCCTACAAAACGTCAGTACCTACCAGACTACACAGTGTCACATCCCAGCAGTCACCTCAAAATCTCACATGACTTGGAGATGAACATTCCTTTAAAGGGAGGAATATTAAGTTATATATTGAATGAGATGGGTTGCTGTTGCCCTGATAATGTAATATACTGATTTTTTTAAGGAATTGCTGGCACTGCGGTCTCAGGATGGCAAAGCAAAGAAGAGGGTTGCAGCTATGCTTAAGCGCACAAAAGCTGCCAACAAAGCAGCCATTGAAGATGCTGTTGATAATGAGAACACTGCCGTAACGTTAGGAGGTGAGGGCATTTCTATGTAAGCACTGAGTGACTTCACTTGTCTATGTAGGATATTTACAGAACAGTCAATCAATTGTTTTACTGTCTTTATATGTGACCACTAGAGGCAAGTTGACCAGAAATCAGATACTTTTTGGAGAACGATATGTGTATACTAAAACCGCATATATAGACTCAATTTTCTTATGTGTGCTGCATATGTTATAATGTTAGGCGGTAAGTGGGAGCTTAAACAAATCTGTTTTAGAGATTGAAACCCCCCCCCAAATATTATAACGACAGAGTCCTATCCTCTGGGATTAACACTGTGTAGTCTGTTGGAAATTAACCAACATTTCTCAGGATCATGTTGATTCCATCTTCAGGGTCAAAGGGTAAGCCAAGAAAGATACCACTATGAAGCAAGTAGCAAGCTCTGTGACATGTTTCTCCGAAATGTTGGTTGACTTTCAATGGACTACATGGTGTTATACCCCAGAAGGTACAACTCTTCATAACTACAGCTCTGAGAACCTCAAATCCTGCACTTTATAGTGACAGCTGTGAAAAATATAAGGCTGATATTGGATAGCCAGTGCTCCTAGATGGTAATTCACAGATGATACTGTCAGATAAACTGAAATTGAAGAAAGACTGGAGGAAACATGCATTATTATTAAAAAAATACTTTAATTACCATATTACTTCAAATTTAAGGCCATCCAGTTTTTGAATGTGTACAATATTATAAGAAATATAAGAAATANAAAAAAATACTTTAATTACCATATTACTTCAAATTTAAGGCCATCCTGATTTTGAATGTGTGCTTGAGGAAAACATTAGGAAGGTACATATTACTCAAATTTGATGCAGCTCAATTTTTCAATGGGAAACAATGTGTAAAATGTGCATATTCTATTTGAAGTGATATGGTAGTTAAGTAATGGAAGAACATAAGTGAAGGGTAAGCATACATTTAATAAACCTAAAGAATTAACACTTTCACTTCATTTGGCTCCACAAAAATGTGAAATTTTCTGTGAGCAATAATTACAAACAAACATTTTGTATTTTATTTTATTACCAGCAGCACACCACTGATGGTGCCCATAATCCAGTGATCACTAGAACAGTCTTCCTGTTATTGTACAGAGCAGTAGATGCACTCCTTATTGGCATTGTGCTTGTCATCAGTTGAAAGAGGAGGTTCATCTGAATCTTCTGAGTTCAAAGAACATGTCATTGATGATTTTTTGTTTCTGGGTGCCACTGGAAAGAGCAGCTTTTTCAGCTTTCATCAGGCCTTGGATTTCTCTTGTAGCATCCTTGAAAGCCCTCCTATTTTGTGCCTTTTGTTTGTGAGTTCTGCTTGGTATGGTGGGAGGGTGCGGAAGGATGAATATGAAAAGGACTAATAGTTTCTTCAGTTTCTTGGTGCTTTTATCATATTGTCATGTGTAGGGTGGTACGCATGATGAAAATAATGGGTTCTAGGTCTGATGATTGGATTTATTAACACCTTGGTTACAAGTTCTTTCTTAATTACATTTAGTGCAGTGCTCTCACTGTTTCTGCACTTTGTAATTCACTGATACACACACACACACACACACACACTAGTCCTCTCCTGGTAATGCAATTGAAACACAAGAATTAGTACTTCCAATCACTCCAAAGATTACATATGAATAAATTCTTGTAATCACAATTAAAGTCTTTACAGGTTGACTTCAACTACAAACTTTCCATGGTTGTCTCCTACCGAGAACTGACTCACTGAACTACAGAACTACTCCTTATATAGGCTCATCATGGACCACTCACAGAAAACACATCAACTGCTCAGCGACAGATATCATGTATTTCTGTCAGGCGTGTCTAGTCATGCATTGCCTAGCAGTGGACGCCCTACTGTTGTGCATTCATTGCTGTATAAAAGATTATTAACGCCGTCCAGTGTGATTGATGTTTTTTTTTAATCTTTTATCCTTTACATGTTTTGGTCGGAGTGACTATCTTCAGAAGGACATTATCAATACATAGAGAAACTACTGGGGGCACGCTGTAGTGTAGTTGGTTGAGGCACTATGCTACAAGCCGGAAGGTCGCGGGTTCAAGTCCCAGTGGGGTGTCATTGGATTTTTTCCAATTGACCTAATCCTTCCAGCCGCACTATGGCCCTGGGGTTGACTCAGCCTCTAACAGAAATGAGTACCAGGAATATTCTTGGAATATTCTTGGGGGTAAAGAGTGGCTGGCGCGTAGGGCTGACAACCTTACCACCATCTATGAGCCGATTTTTTTTAGAAAATGTGGGAACCTCAACATCTCACAACCCTATGGGCCTCCATGGCCTGTTACAGGGATACCTTTGCTTTTTTTTTTATGGAAACTACTATTACAATGTCATTGGTCATTATCATTACATACAGACGCTACAATTACAATGTCATAAATATAAAATATCCTTTAACAATTACTATGAAGTGCCTGAATTTGTTAAAACATTTATAAATTATTATATTTAGTCTCTTTACAAAATATGAATCAAGTTATATTGATTGCTGTGATATGTGTTTGCCAGTCTGTTACCTAGCAATACCTTGAGCAGATTCATTACAGTATCATTTGGCCAATTGGCAGGCTGTAATGCTCTTCAGTCACTAGCATATTGAAGGACAGAATGCAATAAACACATTGACAGATGATATCCATTAATCTTGCTCTTAACATGTGCTTAACCCATTTAACCTTCAGCCAGTAAATGGTAATATCCCTCAATGAATATATATCCAATTTCTGTTGACTAATGAAGGGTGTAGTGTTGATAAGTAAGAACTTTGTATAGAATTCTCAGAGAAATAATTTTCATTCAATACTCCCTTACCAAATCTATCACTTCCAAGATCTGGTATGAGTAAGTATCAAACTGTCCCATCAGCTTGACTGTTTTGATGAAATGCCACATCCAGTCAGTGGATATATAGAGTTGTATCCAGTGGCTCAGGTTGTTGCAGCCCCTGAAAGTAGTGAGAGATTAGATCCCTTATTCTTGGGTGATAAATGTTGTCTTTCTTAAGTAACATAAACTTGTACTCCTGTAATAAAATGCATTGTAGCTCATTAGATTGTGATCTCCTCAGGTGTTATCATATAGCATGGGGTTACCACTACCAGAACACTCATCATTTGTAGTATGATCAGTCATGTTCTTTTCTACTGCCATTGCTCACCAACTTCAAGTCTGGTATGTAGAAGAACATTTCAGAGTTTCTTTCCATCCATATGCTATTCTATGGCAGGACTGCTCATGTATTCGTTTTAGAATAGCAGCTGAGCATGTTCATTGAATATTAACTAACTCCTGCAGAATAGTCGCTGGCTTCCCACTGTGGTGGCATGGGTTCGATTCCAGGTCTGGTAAAGTGGGATTTGTGGTGGACAAAGTGGCGCTGGGGCGGGTTTTCTCTGAGTACTTCGGTTTCCCCTGCCATTTTTCATTCCACCAAATTCTCCATCATGGTGGCCAATTAGTGGCCGCCGTGTCGAGTGGACCCAGTTGGACTCCACCCCCCCACTAAGCGAAAAACTCCCACAGAACAGAAGCCATCTTGAGAAGCTAATTGTTGGCCAGATTGTCAAGAAATTGCTCACCTTTTATGGAGCCTGAAGATTCATTGCTGTGTTGAAAATGGCTCACCACTGGACCCTTGTCTTTCCATCTATGCCTAAGTCTCCTGAGTGGTCTACTCCCACCTCTCCCATGTACGATACATATTGCTGTTATCAATTTTATCACCATAATAATGCTTGGTGAGGCAAATAACACTAACAACATATAATCAAAAATAAATACTGCATTTGCATGTAGTGTGTGTTTTCTCTGTATTATAATTTAAAACTACAATAGTCTGTACAACTTGCAAGATGTATAAATATAATTGAAATACGGCACTCACATAGTAATGGTGACCCGAGTAACTTCAGAGCTTTACACCATGTTGTCTGCAGCAAGCATATCTGTGAGAACAAAACTCAAAGCCTAAATTTACAAGGCTTTTAGATACTGTTTTTAAAAACAAAAAGCTTGCTTAACCATTTCAAAATGGAACAAAAATCCTAATATTTTAAAGTTTTCCCATGTTTAACCTTCAATTTGATTGGTCCCAAGTCAATAATCACAGTGTTAAATTATCTCCACTCAAGATTTTCCTCAGATTATTGTTCAAATTCTTTGCTTCCAGAAGGAAGTTTAAATGTGAGTTTTACTGTACATGAGTTCCTGTGTTCTGAGTGTTCTCATGAGCAATTATTTGCACAGGTTTGGCACAGCCTGATGAAGATGATTATGGCTATGTATCACAGGAAGCATCGGCATTTTACGACAAGCTCATGGAAAAGTATACTTCCACTCCTTCTGAGGAACCAAAATTCTCCAAGAAATCTTTTCTAAAGTCCAGTGCTGCAGATTTAAATAATACCAAGGTATGCTTGGAAAGTATTATAATGTGTGTGTCTTTATCAGTTTACAATATTTTCAAGCTCTAGTGATAGTGAGAGTAGTCGATACGTCACAGATATGTGAGATGTGATGTCCACTGTATGGGGTGTTAGATGTACACAGTATTTTGCAAATTGAAACTAGTGTCATCTTCACATGATTCTTTACTGTTACATGATTTAATTTTATGCATCGTATATTCTTGTGGGAGTGACTGGTCGAATCTGGGACCCTTTAGCATGCTATTCAATAGAGCACCTCAGATCACCTGGTTGACTGATGTCAGTAGTGATGTTTTTTTTAAGTTGTAATTGGGATGTTGCATAACTCACTCAGTTTTATGTTCAGTCAGAAAGCATGTTTATAATTCATGGAAGTAGTTATCTGAATTATGAGCAGTTCTTCTCACTATCATTGTAGCTTGATTCTATGCTCCTGCCCTTAGGATCGAGTAAGGATGGCTCTACTAAGACAGGAAGAAGAAGAGTTGATGCCACATAAACGCAAAAGAAAAACGAAAGAAGAAAAACTTAAGGAAACAGAAAGTGTAGATAGAAGCCAAAATGAGTCAGATTATGGAAAAACAAAAGAATGTGAAGAAGAGATGCCAGAGAAATTTGTCAAACCTCGTCGTCCCCCTCCACAACCACAAATGGACTTCCTCAATTTGCTTAAGATGGCAGAGAAAAAGCAATTTGAACCAGTTAAAATTGTGTCAAAAGTGAAAGAAGAGGATGAGAGACCTATGACTAAAAAGCAACGTGCAGAATACATGAAAGAAAAGGAATGGCGGTTGAGGAAAGAAGGAAAGCTTCCACCATTAACAGCTTCAAAGCAAGTGACAATCCAGTCTCAGAGAAACAGTCTCTCCCAGTCTTCAGAGGAAAGAAGCAGAACTCAGAAGAGCAGTCTCAGTGCAGCAGATTCAGGGAGTGGTCCAAGAAGTAATCAACATGCAGTAGATAGAATTAGAGATCAAAGAAGCAGTCAGTTGTCATTGGATGGACAGAGAGAACAGACAGGAAGTCAGCCTTCAGGATATGGTATCAAGGACCAAATTAATGGTCGATTTTCAGATCAGAGAACTGGCCGACCTTCTGGAGACATAAATAGAGATCAGAGGAACCGCCGGCCACTGGAAGGGAACAGGCCCCCGAAGAGTAACCGATCTTCAGAGGATGGTAACTTCAGCATTCCAAAATGTCCAAAAGTGAACAGCTCCAGTAGAATTGATAAACATGAAAAATCACCACACAGGATTCCAAAACTGAGTGATAGCAGTAGCAGAAGTGTGAAACTGCAAGGGAACTCTGATAGTAAAGTTGGCAAGGAAAGGAGTAGAGATATATCAGGAAAATTGCCTGTTAAAAACAGTCACACTTCTAGTGCCTTTGGACAAGGTAGTGCAAATAGGAACAGTCCTGAAGAAAGAAAAGATACTAGCATTAATAGTAGCAGTAGTGGTAATAGTAAGAACTATAATTTATCAGGTTACAGTAAGAAGTTGCAAGAGAGCCTCTTGGCCAATCTACAGGAGAAAGGAAGGAGTGGTAAACTATCAGAAGCAAACAAGTTCCTTGTACCAGGAGCCCCAACTTCAAAATATCCAAAGAATTGTGATTCTGGATCATTTAACATGAGCAGAGAAGCAAAGCAACAGTCAAAATTCACAAGAAGCAGTGAGTCGAAAGATGTGATGAAAGAAGGTTCCTTAATAAGAAGTTCTGCAAAGCCATTTACCTCTTCACATAAAATAAATGAAACATCTCGTGGAGTGTTATCCTCAAAATCTCAGGAGTCTTCAGTAAGAAGTAAGCCTGGCCATGAAATTCCAACCAGAGATGCAAGAAAAGCAGTTCAAATACCATCCAAGGATGTCAAGCAGAGGCAGTTTCCACTCTCAGATGCCAAGACATGTCAGTCGCCACCTGCATGTGTTAAGCCAAGACAGTTCCCATCTGCAAATGTCAAGCCAAGACAGTTCCCACCTGCAGATATCAAGCCAAGACCGTTTCCGCCTGCAGATGTAAGGTTAAAACTCCCATCAAAACGTGAGTGCAACTTGTTGATTGATTCTTAGGCAGGTTATCTGCTGTCCCATATGCAAAAGTCACAGTGAATGGGGAGAAATGATGATAGTCTTGAAGCATGTGCAACCTGTTAGGACCAAGTAAAACTGTAGCTGGTGCCCCTTATCTCACTTTTAACAGTTTAAGTCTTATTCCAATAAACAGATGCAGAAACACCCAAATTCATGAACATAAACTTTGCCTCAGATGGGGCTTTGAAGCAGACTTCAGGATTGTCACTCAGTTTTACCCATTAAGAATGAGAAAGAGAGACATAACTTGAGCATGTTTCTCATTATTGCCACTAGAGGAATTCAGAATTTACCATAGTTGCTAACACTTTTTACAGAATTGTTCTTTAGATGAAGAAATGCAAATAACTTAAATGTATATTTCCTTGAGAGACAGAATTTTGACTGCAACATTTTCCTTCCCTGTGAATATTAAACAAAATATTCTTTTGACCATTATAGAAACTTTATGTTGGACTGATTGTATAAGTAGTACTTTGGACATTGTCCATCATCTTAAGCATACTTAAATTCACATCATCATCAGGTGTGAGTGAGTGAAGGATCATATGGATTTAGGCTGGTTGGAGAGAGCCAATCTTAGTCACTGAGGAAGTTCTAAGGTGTGTGCGTGCATGTGTTCATGCACATGTGAACATATTCTGCTGCCACATAATATTGCCTGCAGGAGACAGAAGTACAAGCAAGAATAAGATTGGTATATATATATATATATATGCTGAGCTACAGGTTTAGGCAGTTGCTAATCAGTTACTTCCTATCTCATAGCAAGGGGAGCCATATGGTGCTGACATTTATGCTTGGCTTGCTGATCACCCATTCTCCTGTTTTGGTGAAAACAATTTCATTCAGTTTCCTGATGGTTGTTTTCCTTTTTGCATATTACTGGTATTTCTGTATATACCTGAGAAAATGGACAAGTCCAGCATAATATTTATATTATGAGGGAACCATTGTCAGAAGCCTTTAGAGCAGTGGTTATTAACTTTACTGCAACATGCACAACTTTGTTTCTCAAAATATGGTCTTATCAAATACTGTCAGTTCTTTAAACCTAAATAAATGTTTTCTTTGTATATTGCAGTAATTGTTAAAAAATGTATAATAATAATAAATATTGTCATGTGCTAAGTAACTAGGCATGGGATTTGGATTGGTAGTTGGATTCATTGGACTCTTGAAACTTATAACTAAAAGCAACTATAGCGAGGTTGCTATTCACACACTGCTCTTTACTACAGCACACACTAAGTCTTCTTAGTCTGTTGTGTCTTCACTGAATGTTGCTTGGTAATAGCTTTGACCACATAGATTCCTTGGCTTCCATGGTCATTGCGTCCTGTGTTTGCTGGCTGGTGCTTATCTCACACCGACTCTTCATGGCCACAACTACTGACCATTGACTCCTAGCCACATCTGACCTCCACTGGCTACTGTTGTCTAGCACTTGCTTCCACCTCATTTGTGGACTGCTAACCACTCTCTACTCGACTGACTCTTTGTCGGTTTCAGCTCTCCAGATAGCCTCAACATGGACCAAACAGAGAATACTGCTTCCCACAATTCCTCTTTTGGTGCATGCATAAGTGTTGCTATGCTGAAATGGTGTTTACTGTGCCATAACCTAGCAACAGGCATCTTCTCTGATTATCTATTCCAGCTTCATGTCACAGTATATATGATTGATGAAACAAGTTAGTTGTACTTATGTGCCCTTGCTTAATTTGTGTTTTTGATGATTTACCTTCTAAAAAAATTTGCATGTTTTGCACCCCTAGAAAGGGCATCTCACACCCCCAAGGGGTGTATGCATTTCACAGAACCGCTGCTTTAGAGGATCATCATATACTTTGACCATCAAGTGGCAGCACTGGTTGGCCAGTACTGTATATTGTCATGTGTTTCAGTGACTGAGATGTAGGTTTGGATTGGTAATTCGTTTTATTAATAACATACAGGTTGTAACTACAATTAATTGTTACACTGTTGCTGCTTTACACAATCAAATCTTACACAATGTACAATCACTCCACACTAATGTTTTCAGTCTATCCTCACTAGTCTTCATGGGTTTATAACATGGGAGCTATAACAGTCTCACTGAATCACACACTCCAAATATTACACATAAATAAGGTCTTCTAATCACACGTTAAGTCTTCACAAGGCAACCTCCTGTACTCTTAGTTCCAATTAGTTCTGTTCGCATGCTTCCGCCGCTACTATTCACTCGTAACTGCCCTGAACTGACTTTGCATCTGAATTCACTTCTCTTATAAGCACTCTGCACAGACCATGCATAGTGTAGACCACACAGAGTACAAGTTATGTGATATCCAACTGGTCAGTCCATTGGTGCGCTGACTGTCACCTAGCAGTGAGCTATAAACATTGCTATTGTTGCGTAATGGACTCTGTTTACAGAGCTGTTGCCTGGCAACTTGATCAAATCCGTTACAATATAACTACAAGGGTAAGTCAGTAAGTAAGTTACAAATGGATATATAACTTAAACAAATAAGAGTACTGATTTGAAAAATGCTTTTATTTCTCAACATAATCTCCCTGTACATTGAGGCACTTGTACCATCATTTCACAAGTCCCTGAAAACCAGCAGCATAAAATTCTTTGGGCTGCTGTTGGAACCAGGCGGTGACTTCCCTTTGTACAACTTCATTGTCAGGAAAATGTTCACCCGAAAGATGATGTTTAAGAGGGCTGAACAAATGCATTATGAGGTAGGCCATGCCATATGAACAACCAGTAGCAGTGGCTATAGTGTCTATAGCTACCTTTCTGTCTGCTCGGATTAAGTCTTCAACCCATTGCACATTTGCCTCTGTGGCAATCTCCGTTGGCTGGCAGACGCAGTGTTCGTCTTCGATATGTGTCCGCCCTTCAGAGAACTTCTGGACCCAATTGTAAACAGCTTGACTTGACAGGCACTTCTCACCGTAGATGGGAAGCGCTTCTTTGTGAATATTCTTTGATTCCATACCTTTTTCCCACAAAAATTGCACAATGGAGCGCTGCTCGAGGGTTGTACACTCACTTAGAGGCGCCACCATCTTGCAACTGCTCTTTCGCTTTTGTAAACATTGATTGTCTCATGTCGAATGTCATCAGTTGTCACCGGACTAATGCTGCCATCTAGTGGCAGTAGCCTCAAGTGCCTCATTCAAACATGTAGTACCTCACATCAATTTGTAACTTACTTATTGACTCACCCATGTATAATTTTTAGGTACACATTTTGTGCAGAATCCTGCCTTAGTCTGAATGCATTTCTGTAAGCATAATCTGGCACAATCTTCCTGATGGAAATATTTCATTATATGAAATGAATGTTTAACCTTTAACGTACGGACTTCAAATTGCCGTGAGCCCTCTGCGGCCGGAATTTAAATGGCCCTAAGTCTTTAACCTTACAGACTTAAAAAAAAAAAATACAAATTTTCCGTTCTGTGCAACATAGAAATACAAACTAAAAACAAACAATTTTCTACATATACACAAAAGAGCAATTTTTACCAATGAAAATTAACTGTGATTATTTTGCCATGAAATGCAAAATATATTCTTTATTATATATGTTATGAAATTCCAAAGGACTTACAAGTAGTTTTTTCTTCAACCTTGAGACATGGTCATATTGCATATTTAATCACACTATATACAATAATATTTTGTTAGACTGTAGGTGAGTTTGAACTGCGTCACTTCACAGTTAATGATACCTCACACTCTGACGTGCGTGTGCCACTTGTCAAAGAAGTCCCTGACACACAGCCCAACATCACAATTTTTTTACAATAGAAAATGGTGCTCCTGCTGTTCTTGTTTAGCGAACACACATGACATCTTTGTTTCCCTTTGGTTGGCCAGTGTGGTGAATGTTTCAGCTCCAGTCGACTCAGTTGGGCCCCAGATGAACTGTGCCTCCCCTGAGAAACGCCACTGACCGTGATAGTCGCCTTGTGCGATTGAAGAATCATATTGGGGGAGGGGGGGGGGGTTCCAGCTAAATCGAATAAATTATGTTGATTGACAAAGCGACACTCTCACCTGTTAGTAATACTTGCAAAATAGTGATGCAAAGTAATTCTAATACTAGTCGAAAAGAGTGCCAGTCCAACACTGATACCGAAAGTCACAGTGGCAAAGATGCCTTTTACTCACAAAGTAATACTGGCTCAGTGGGTTTATACCTCTTCCGAGACACAAAATAAAAATGATATATAAAGAAATATATGAGTCTGAAACTGACTTTTTAACTGATAAAGAAATATATGACAATCCAACACTGACTTCCTAACTGATAATTCGCTACTGAAAACCAATCCTTGAATACGTCACACTTCCTGGAAAGCTCTGGAAGCACTAAGAGCACAGATGAATATTTCCTCCTCAGTTCTCAAAACAAATCTGGGCTCTATTTGGCTGACCAGGTCATAAACGGTCATATACCAGTACCTGATAAATGATTCCATTGTTCAGAGTTAACAAATGAACCACTGAAATGGCCTTGTATGTGTTTGTTTTGGTTTCAAACACAAGATCAAACTGTCAGCACCTGTGTTATAACATTCAGCCACCAGAGGGGTGTTACTTGCTGTAGATATATATAATATTCCTCTGTTAAAGGTTAATTGTAGTCTATAGAAAGACTAGAATATTGTTTGTTTGGAATATAGAAATAGTTAGCTGTAGATTACAGTTGGTAGTAATCTTGAATAACAATTATTTACTTTGTAAATACTAAGAATGAAAGTTTCATTAAGGAATATGTTGTATCAGTAGGCCACTTCACATGCAGGCATACAGGGTGATTCAAAAGTCCTGTGACCAAACGCCAGAAGGTTCTTTGGGAGAAAATTTGGATCAGAAAATGTAAAAAGTTGCTTGAGTCATCATCCTTGTCAAGTTATCTTTTAGTCCATTCACATATACATTTGATTATTTACACTTAACATCCATACATATTGTGTTTAATTACTGTGAGTGAAGAGCAAAGGTTTCAAAGTAACTAGCTCTTCACAGTTTCAGTTGTACATTGTACTTAACTTAATGTATGATTATGTAGTGGGAACTCACATGCAGTTCTGAATCTTTCTTCATAAGAACTTATCAAAAGTTGTATTTCCTCACAAGTACCTGTAAAAGATACCTCCTCCAGTTTGCATACATGCTTTACAGCATCATCAGCTGTACTCACTGATAAGAGCCAGTTGTCTATGGTGGCCCATGTCTGTCACAGTTTACAGGGTGTGGTGGATCCAGTTGTCACCATCTTGTATATCTGTAGCATAAGCTTAAGCATTTTTTTTGTGTGTTCCCAAAAAGAAAAACCAAGCAAGTTCTGTCTTGTGACAATGAGAAGACTTCACCACGGGAACATATATAATCAGGACAGAGTTTGAAATGCCATAACTTTGAAACTGTTGAAAATCAGACAACTGTTTGTTTACACTTTCTGCTTCAAATTATCTCAACAATAATCTCCTAAAATTTGCCCAGAGGACTTTAAAACACTGCATATCTATTTAGCTGTGATTTGTTGATATTAGAAAATGTATAGGATTTTTAAAAATCATGCTGGCATGGGATAGAGTCCAGGTTATCAGAAACTGTCATATGTCTCCATTGTTCTGAAGTTCTTAAGTTCTTTACTCTGCATTCCTTCACCTGGAGAATTTTGTAGGTTTCATTGTCTTAGTGTGAATTATTGTATAGGTAGAAGTGTTTTGGATTAACAGAAGAACGTCAGTCGTTCTGTTTGTACTCAGCAATATTTATACATTGTTTCATTGTCTGTGTAGGTTACATTGAAGATTCTGATGAGGAATATGACCCTGAACTGGATGACTTCATTGATGACGGGCCAGATGAGTCAGAAGATGTCTCTAAGCACATAAAGGAGATCTTTGGATATGATAGATCAAGGTAATGGTCCTGTATAGTAACCTGTGTTTCATTATTAACCCAGTCTATAATTTTTGCTGGATGCATAAGTATTGAAAATTACTCACCATTGGGGGGGGGGACACAGTAGCATGGTTGAGGCACTATGCTACAAGCCGCAAGCTCGGCCTTAGTGTAAAATGCAGAACATTATGAGAAAGATGGACATTTGTCTGAGTTAATCATATATTTGAAGGGTATTGTCTTCTGAATTGTAAAACCATGAAGACTGATACACGTTCACAGCCATTTTGGAGGAACATGCACCTCCATGTTTAGTGTTAAAGAGCAAGGATATCAAGTAACCAGCAAGAAGCAGTCCCAGAAGATAGTGCTCATCATAGTTGCTGCCCTAAGAACCTCAGAACTAACATACAGTCAACTCTCGATTATCCGGGATAATGGTGGGCATGGAAATCATGATTAATCGAAAACCCGGTTAAGACAAATGTTATTAAAAGTAGTACTGTAGTAATACTGTACCTTCATAATACTATAGGCCTACCTGTATTTAAATTTACTCAACCTCATTTTTATGTCATCTCATGGCCTATTTAATACTTTTTTTAACATTATACTGAAGTGTGAATTACTTATTTCAATCACAGTGTTCAAAAACATCCAACACTTTTTACGAATATTCGCACTTAACACTTAAAGAAATTAATATTGTCGTTTGCTTTTTCACGGCATTTTCCTTTTTACGGATATCCGTACGAAGCCTACATAATATTAACTTGTCACTTAATGAACTGTTCTCCTCACTCTCAAGATAGTCTAGTAAGGATTCCAAATGATTAAGAGCAGCACCATGTGATATTTTCTTACTAGCAGCACTGTCCACCTCTTCCTCATTCTCACTTTCTTCCCACTCTTCTGGCTGCACCCCCCCTGAACTTACGGTTTCGTCACTGCTTAACATTTTGATCCCGGCTCACACGCGTTTCTGTTGAATACCTAACACAACATGCTTCCTTTTACCTTCTGACATTTTGCTAACACACTTGAAGATCGATACAAAGAGACCAACTGGGGCGGTGTATCTGTCCATGAAACTTTCCACAAATCCTTGCATTCTTTCACCCCTACCCTAGAACATTGTGTTAGCATAACGGGACCAAAGAATGCAGAGCTCGGTTCACACTAGTGCGAAAATAGTGTTACAACTCACCATGTGAAACAAAAGTGAATGAATATTAAACAACATATAAGCCTCAAAAAAGCCTCAGTAGCCCCGGTTAAGCCGCAAACTGGTTAATCTGCCCCGGATAATCGAGAGTTGACTGTAATAGGTTTTTTTGAACTGTAAAATATGTGAGGTTGTTATAATTTCTACAGTGATTTCTGTTTCATAGAACTTGTAATGCAGTAGCTACAGGCATATCTCCATTAACAGGATTCTGACCTGTTGCCAGGATACATTTATGGAACTATCACAGTGTGCGTGTTTTTAGCGTACTTTCCTTTGATACAACATGGACTGCATAGAGAATGAAAAAATGATGAGGGCGACACAGCAAGGTGATCTCATAAGCCTCCTAACAAAAATTAGGGGATACACAGATAGACAGACAGGGCCAGACATGGACCAATATGAAGGTGATATAAGCCTTTTAGTTTTTTAAAATAAGAAAAGTGGGCTAAAAAATAAAAGGAAGCTTTTAAGATCACCTTACTGTTTATCTGTGTATGCCCCCCTCCAATCATTGCTAGGCAGGAACTTGTTAAATACATTCCTGCATCAGTGAATACACACAATAATAGAAGAACTATTGGACACAGTGTTTTCTAAGCTGTCATGTTGTTTCAAATATTCAGTGTGTAATGAAAGGAAAGTAGGTGATATGATCTTCCCAGAACTTATTTATATGCAGATCAAAGTACTTGGATTCCCCCTGTTGTATGCACCAGATGGTGTGCTGTTTGCTGACAGAATCAAACATCTGTTACAGGTATAGAGAGATGGATGATGATGATGATGAATGTATGGAGTCGAGTTTCTCACAGCAGTTAAAAGAGGAATTTGTGAGCACCAAGATGGGAATTTTGGAAGATCTGGAAGACATAAAAATGGAGAAAAGAGCACTTGAAAGGAAGAAAAAATTGATGATGAAAAAGAAAAGAATATAACAGCAGGAGCAATTCATGGTGCAGATTATGTAAAATACCATATTTCCTAGTCCAAATATTCTTATTTGCCATCAGTGTGACTAGCTTATTTTGAAAGTATTGTAGCGTGTTTAGTTACTGAAGACGCCGTTCGGATTGTTAATTGGTTTCTTTAACAACCTACAAGTCGTAACTACAATTTATTATAACACTGTTGTGGGGTTTCACACTTTATAACCCTATTTGCAATAATCTCTTCACGCTCTCCTCAGTAGTCTACACATATTCACAGTACGAGAGCTATACAAGTCTCTCTGTATTACACACTCCCAATTACACAATTACACACGTGTCTGGTTTTCTTTCCGCGACTGCTGCTATACTTCAACTGTGTTGCTCCGGCTCACACACTAACTTTCGCTTACTGCTCATCTGGCATTTTATTCCGTTCGCTGTTGCCTGTTGCCTGTGTCAACAGCGGCGTTGCATGCCTCGTCACAATAAGAAGCAGTGCCACGTAGCCCGGGGGGGCGCTGACTCACCTGCTACGTCACTGTGGCCAGAGCTGCCACGTCACTGCTGGGGGAGGGAGGGGATGTCCTCCATAGTGCAACACATCACACTGCTCCCTCCTTAAGGCTATTCGGTGCCCTCCCGTGCCTTTTCTTCCAAGGATGTGCTTGCTGCCTCTCCTGTTGTTTCGGCTACTCCTTGTAGCTACTATTCTCTGGCCGTTACGTCCTCCACTCCCTTCTTATGGTTGCTCGTCTTGAGCAGCCCCATGATAAGGTGAGAGCCGGTCCAGGTGTACTATCAACAACCTCGACCTAGGGTTCTTCTGGATTCTGTATACCACATCATTTATCTGGGTTACTACCCTGTAAGGACCTTCCCACGATGCTTGTAGTTTCGGCAATTTCCCTTTCTTGCAGGTTGGGCGATAGATCCAAACTATGTCACCTTCGTCGTAACCTGCGGAGTTGGCCAGTTTATTGTACCGAGTTTTCATCCGGTCACTGGCGAGCTTCAGGTGTTGTCGGGCATAATTGTGGATGTCGTGCAGATGATCCACCAAGTCTGCTGCATAATCGGTTGTGGGTAGTTCTTTCAAGTTTCCACTTAGTTGTGTTCTCATTTTTCAAAAATCAAATACTGGAATGCTTTCACATTAACCTGACACACATTATGGCATTTAAGCTTACCATTTGTTGATTCTTCTGTTTTGTCTGCAATTTACATATCCAGTGTTTCCAGATCGGATCTAGGTGGCATCACACCAGCAGGTGAATATACATTTTTCTTGTAATCTTCACCGCAAAGAGGGTGAAATGTCTTTCCATCTATTCTTACTGCTCCAAGCAGTTGCCATTCTTCTTCATCATTAAAGATTTTTTGAATCTATCATGACACATTATGCAAATCTCATCATCAGGATTCTCTCCTTCAGAAACACTGGGAACATCTTCAACCTTCGTGTCTGCCACGTTTGCAGCCCTCTGCCACTCAAACCAGCATGGTCCTGCTTCCTCTGAGTCTTCAATCTCCTCATACTGCATCCAGTCTGAGACACTAAAATACCATCCTCTACTCTGATTGGCACCACTGTCCTTCAGACGCCTGTTCTGACGGAAATGCCAATCCAGATGTTGGCGGCATTTGATACGTTCCTCTGCAGGGAAACGAACACCACAGGAACTACACGGAATTCCAGAGTGCAGCAGTGCCACTAAACCAGGCTGACTGAAGTCCACAGGTTTTATAGAATTAGCCTCTTCTTTGTTTTTACAATCTGCATTAGCTTTTCCACGTGGAAGAATCCCTGCTGTCACCAGCCTCTCATACAACTCTGTCACATTCATCTCAGCAGGAGGGACTGGGATGCTGCTCACCTGAGTCAGTGGTGCTGGACGAGGCTGACTGAAGTCTACAGGTTTTATAGAATTAGCCTCTTCTTTGTTTTTACAATCTGCATCAGCTTTTCCACATGGAAGAATCCCTGCTGTCACCAGCCTCTCATACAACTCCGTCACATTCATCTCAGCAGGAGGGACTGGGATCCTGCTCACCTGAGTCAGTGGTGCTGGACCACATGGTCTATGTCTTTTCCTCTCCTTTTCAGACGAATCCCGTATTCTTTTTACTCCAAAACATCTTTTCTGTCCTCGTCCACTAGAAAGTGACTAAAACCTCTCTACATCACCTTTAAACCATGCATGATGTCTTTGCTAGTTAATTCCACCATAACTGTTAAGTGTTTTAAATTCTGGTCCCAATATTTCATTAAACGGGTAACCATATTGTTGGCTTGGGCCTGGATGACTGCCGAAATGAACTTGATGTCTCCAGCAATGACCACATGGCATGTCAGGATGTCCACCAATCAACTGCAAAGGCCCATGCTGAAATTTTGTTGGCCTGGGGGACTGAAGAGGCCATGACACTGTGGCAGTTGGATTCCTGAGCTTATAAACCACTGCGAATTGCTCAGTGTCACCAAATCGGGCATCCATTGTGGAACCACTTCTTTACCAATTCAGCAGAAACTGCTGCCTAAACAGTCACCTCGAACAATTTCAAGAGATCTCGAATGAATTCGAATAGTCAGTACGCTAGCAACTCTAATGACTGGTACAACTGAAACAAGACCTTGGCGACCTCGGCTAACCACTACTGGCGTCTGTCAACACACTGCCTCTGTCAGCTTCCACTTGCTTCGGTCAACACAACTATCCTGCTCGGTCCTCAGCTGGTTTCTGTCTTGTCCAACCGGGCCTGGAACTTGCGTTTGGCTATGTCAATTGCTGCGCAGGTTTCATTATAGTTTTTCATCAGGTTTTCCTGGAGTGTATTTGTCCGCGCACAGAGAGACACTTCCACTGACTGTAGGTCTCTTTGTGTTTTTTCAGTTCTTTCAATCAGCTCCTTAAGCTGTACGTCTGTTCTGGCTTGGTTGACGTCCTCATCTTCTCCATCATTTCTTTCAGTTCTCTTCGCTCGGCCTATCATCCTCCAATTGGGCTAGGAGTTCCTTGTGGCTGAGCTCCGCTTTTTCTTGGTTGGCGTCTAATCTTGCCAGAAATCTTCTCTGTCTTTTTTTCTATTGGCCTCCCTTTCGTCCTTCTCGGCCTTCCTATCGGCGTCTAATTTTGCCAGCATGATATTTGCTTTTTCTTGATTGAATTCTAATTTCGCCAGGAAGTCCTCTTTGTCTTTCTTGTGACCTCTGCTGTCGCCTGGTTGGTTCTAAATTCTTCTTGCATTGACTTCAAGAGCTCTAACACATGTTCCATTTTTCCGTTTGTAGGGTAGCACAAGGCGCACAATAATTCGTTCTACTCGTCGCGTGTTTAAGTTCATAAAGCACTTCTGACAGTCACGTGTGTAAGTTCGTAACCACTTCTGACACCAAATGTAACGTGTTTAGTTACTGAAACTTGTTGGTAACGTGTGTAAGTCCAATCCCACTTCCGACACCAAATGTAGCGTGTTTAGTTACTGAAGACGCCGTTCGAATTGTTAATTGGTTTAACAACTTACAAATCGTAACTACAATTGATTATAACACTGTTGCGGGGTTTCACACTTTATAACCCTATTCGCAATAATCTCTTCATGCTGTCCTCAGTAGTCTACACGTATTCACAGTACGGGAGCTATACAAGTCTCTCTGTATTACACACGCGTCTGGTTCTTCTTTCCGTGACTGCTGCTATACTCCAACTGTGTTGCTCTGGCTCACACTAACTCTCGCTTACTGCTCAGCCGGCTTTTTATTCCATTTGCTGTTGACTGTTGCCTGTGTCAACAGCGGTGTTGCGTGCCTTGTCACAGTAAGAAGCAGTGCCGTGTAGCCCGGGGGGGGGGCAAGCGCTGACTCATCTGGTATGTCACCGTGGCCACGTCACTGCTGGGGGAGGGAGGGGATGTCCTCCATAGCGCAACACGTCGCAGTATTATGAGCTGGTAAATGAACTATTGGTTACAAAACAGCCAACTTGTTCCTCTGTTGCAGTTTTATTGCAAGTTTGCTAGGTTAATCTAATCAGCTTGTGGCATGCAGAGGGTTCAGCAGATGCAGAACTTTATGAATCATTCTATCTTGCATGTAACTCCATGTAGTACATCAAAAGTTAGTGGCATTACATCCCATAAGATAGAACTCTTCATACATAGCCACCGCGGTGAGAACCTCAAATCCCACAAATTTAATTTACCTTTATACAGCAAACTGATACTGATTTTTGAATCTTTTTTGTTAATTTCAGTTAATGTCACACTAAATATTTTTCATCTTCTGACTGGTTGTCTTACACTTCAGGAAATATGGTGTTCAACTGTTGTGAGGTGGGGCAGAAACATACGCCAGCATAAAAGGTTATGTACATTTGGAAATGTATGTATTATCATGTTTATTTACATATTTTTTTAATTTACTCACCCCCTTTTCTGTGCAAGAACAAACTACTGACTTTTATGAATATTTTGTGTTCAAGTGCATTATGATCTGTGAGCAGTCAAGTAGCAGAACAGATGCTTTCCATTATTCACGTGTCACATCACAATTATCTGTAATATTTTAATCTTTTATGTCAATGGGAGAGGGCAACAGCTAAACTGAAGAAGAAAATATGTGTACAGTATGAGAGAAAATAAAAATAGCACTCTTGTAAAGCCTAGTTTTGGTACAAAATTTGTTTCTTGAATAACTGTGATATTAACCAATTTACATAACCTAACCTCAGTTTATATGTAAATATATGTAAAACTCCTCAGAAAAATCTGTGCATAATATATGCATAGTAGTATCAAAAATAGAAAACAGAATAAGGACACATAAACTACTTGAGTAAGGGTACATTTTGGACATAATACATGTACATGGGGAAGTCATAAAATTGTAATTATCACCCAGAAGAAACAGACACACAGGTGCAAGAAACTGTGAGTTAGTCTTCAGTCCTCATCCATCATGATCAGGCGGTTGAAACATTCCACCTTTTTGTCTTGACATAACTGCAAAAGTTTCTTTGCCACATCCATCCATTGCTGTTTTTGAACTGGTGTCAGCAATTCTTGGCACCAGTGTGCGGTGAACTTTGTCATGTGTAACTCGTCATGGATGATGTTGAAAACCGACCCATGGGTAATGCGAACCTCATGAACAATAGCTTCGATAGTTGTGCCTATCGGATAGGATCAAAGCTTCCACCCGTGCCACAATTCCCAGTTTCTCAGCGAGAGACGTTCTTCCACTTCGGGGTTCATCTTCCAGGTTTGTTCACGATGAACGTGCCTCTTCCACCTGACCACTGTGTCATATGATGGTACACCTTCCTGAAACACAGAGGTCATCTGGTGATGGATCTCCCTGTGCAAATGTCCCTTGCAAATGCAGGAACTGTATCACAGCGCGAGCCTCCACTTTCTCAACTGACATTGCCATTTTGACCCTTCCGGTGGCTCCCTCTGCAAACTTGGTGTGGAAAAATTTGACTGTTTGGCAAGCTCAGGAAATGGGCTATGTCCTATATAGAACAATATTTTGGAATTATGATTTTCTCATGGTGATAATTAAAACATTATGACTTCCCATCATATATACCTTGAACATGGTATATAGCATCAGATCCCAAAAGATAGTAAGCTTAACTTTTACTGCTGTAAGAACCTCAAATGACATAAACATAGTGTCACGTGTATCCTGGTAATGCAACAGTAAATAATGGGTTCTGGATTTGATAACTTGATTTACTGGATAATTTCAAACATCATAACTACAATTCATTATTCCACCATCATGATGCTGTTGTCTATGACACAATTACAACACTCTCAACATTAATACATCAACTACTGAACTGTCTTGAACGATGTTTTCCTGACAAATCCTCTTGAACAGCCTTTGCTGCTGCTTATATAGGCTCGGCACAGACCACCCCCAGATAACACATCAACTGATAAGCAAAGGATATCATATATTGTTGTCAGGCATGTCCATCCATGCACTGCCTAGCAATGGATGCCCTACTGTTGCGCATTCATTGCTGTGATATGTGTTTATCAGTCTGTTATCTATCAGTGGACATGTGTTTATCAGCCTGTTATCTATCAGTGGACGCCCTTCTATTGTTGGATGCACATTGGTTGTAACGTGTTTACCTATTCATCTCCTGGAAATGGCCCAATCTGTCACAATAGTTTTTCACTTAATAGCTGTATTTAACAAGTTCTGGGAAGAAATAATTGCCAACTTTCCTTTGATGTGACACAGACAACACCAAAAATGACATACAATTCTTCTGTTGTTGCATGCCCGTTTGTTGCCACAATAAAGTTTTCACCAAGCCATTACCTAGCAACAGCATGGAGATACACATACACACAGATTCATGGGAGGAATTTATAAAGTATGTTGTTGAGATGGGCTCAGGTGTCATAATATACCAAGTTTCATAACAATTAGTCCAACCATTCAAAAGTTAACAGGAGGGAATTCACAAACAGCATGGTGATCTCATGAGCCATTTTTTTTCAAAATAAAGAAAATAGTCTAAAAATTGTATGAATTTTGTAAACACATTACATACTTAACAGTTTAGTATTTTAAGAAACCATAAAATCTGAAAAGAGTCCCTAATTTCATATGTGTGCATGTGTTTAATGAAAGAAAGTATTGCAGAGTATCTTTATTTCAGCACTAGTTACTGGCATTTATTATGTCCACTAAGAATAAAACTGAGGTATTCAGTCCTTCAGCATTGTTTCACATATGGCACACACTGGCTATTTGAATGCTCTGTTTGCAGTACCACATACACCATGCTTCTACTGCAAGCCCAGTTCTCAGCCCTGAAGCTGAGGAATGGAATACTCTCTTGAGATTTATCACAATGCAAGTTTTTCATGTTTGTTTAAATACATCATTGTCCTGACATCAGGGGTGCATATTTAGTAACAAGAGAGAAACAAGCTCAAGGTTATTCTCCATGATTGTACATAATTGTAGAAAATTACAATTTTTTGAAATGTTTTTCATGAAACAGTCATACAAAGTAGGCATGAATACCCTAACCTGCACTGTATCATTTCCTATGTAATATGTTGGTCAGCTTTTCTGCTCATCTGGAGCATATGTCTAGTTTTGAAAAGCCATTTCCCATGATGATACATAATGTTGAGGTAAAATTCAGCCCATTATGAGGGATTATGAAATTTTCAACCATCAACAACTTTGGAAAATAGAAAATAACTGTATGATGTGTTGACTTATCATTTGCTATATCTGTGGATCTCTGCATTGAAACATGGATTGCTCAACATTTATAAGTAATTTTAACTTTTTCCTACCAAAACTGTGTACACTTTGCTTGCATGCATGCTACATGCCCTACCCCTCACCTCCTCAACTTGATGGTTGTAATAATATTTGCTGACTACAAATTGTATACCTCTTCATTATGTAATTTTCTCCAGCCTACTGTTATTTTATCCTTCTGAACATTCTCCTGAGCACCCTGTTCTCTAATACCCTCAGAGTGTGTTCCCCTTTAATGTGAGAAACCACCCGACTTCCCTTTTCGTCGCCTCCTGTAACTCGCAGGGTCACAGTAGAGATATCGACCCTGCCTCCACATGGGAGGGCATATTCTTGCTACAGTTGTCCTCATAAACCCTCGGCATGGACCACCATAGAAAGCGATTTCCAACAGTACCTCCACTGTTGCACACAGGCTGTTGGTGCAGGAACCTGTATGCTTGCGAGTGTTTCCTAGAAATGGCTCTTCACTCTACAGTCTTGTGAAATGAAGAAGGTGGAGGGTGAGGATTTCTCTGCTGGTGCAGAAGAAGCCAAAGATAGATGGTAACTAAGCAGGTTAATCATTCCAAACATTTCATAGGACTGAATCCTTTTGGCTTAGATGTGACTGACTGTTAATCAGGCCAAATTTGGAGTGGACTGATATATGAAAATAAAAAGGTGAGTTAAATTACAGAAATGTGAGAGAACTGTCTGTATGCAAGATGAATAGTTGGCCTGTCAGTGCATACTTATAGACACAATTCTCAATATCAAGTAGGTGTGCAATGAATCTTGACCAAAAGAAATATACTGTATATTTGTGAGCATTGCAGTTCATGCATGGCAATTTGTTTATGATCTGTCAGCAGTGGGCGGCAGTTGTCAGCTCCATTAGGCGTTTGCCCTCTGTTACAATTAGTAAGTGGTGTATTCCAGCAAGGTGTGGTCTACAGGGTGGTATCAGAAAGTTCCCTCACTTAGTTGTAACTGCCTTGGAGAAAGAAGATGAGAGGAGAGGCCAAAGTTACACTTCTGCAAGGCAGTCATCACTCTACCATGTGACACTGCACTGTGAACATGCATTATTTTTACAAGAGTGCTTTTTAGACTTTTATGTTTCGTTTTGTCTGCAATAGATGGCAAAATTGAGCAACGTGTTTGCATCAAGTTTTGTTTGAAGCTCGGTAAATCTGCTACCAAAACCTGTGAAATGCTATGTGAGGCTTTTGGAAAACATTCTTTAAACCGAACAGAGGTTTTATAATGACATTCATGTTTCAAGGCCGGTTGAGTGTCAGTTGAAGATGAACATTTAGGGTGACCAAGCACCAGCAGAATAACAGAAAATGTGAAGAAATTCGAGAACAAAGACCATCGTCAAACAATCCATGAGCTTGCAGACACCACTGGAATCAGTTATGGAGTTCACCAGGAGATCATAACAGAGAATTTGAACATGCGCCACATTGCTCCATCACAATAATGGCCTGTCCAACTTCCATGCAAATCTGCCTCTGAATTATTGTAGTGATCACTTCATATACAGTCAGATGAAAATTAAAAACTGTTTTATGTATATTCTCTTCCTATTACAGATTTAATGTTTTTGAGCTATCACTGTATGTTGGACTAGTGTGTATTCATACAAAAACCGCATTTGCATCGTCACTCAGCCCAGTTCATTGTTATAATTATTAGGAGAAACAAGTTTTACAAGGCGTTCCATATCGCAAAAGCGCCATTACGAGCTAAACCTCTAACCCTCTAACCTACCAAAAAGCGGGACATTATTTATTTCATAGTATATGCTGAACTTTTGAAAGCACTGTTCTATTTTTTTTTTATAACCAAATACTAAACGAAACGGTAAATGTTATTGAAACTGAGCAACGGAACATCCAACATTAAAGTTAACTACGACTATAAATATTTGCTGTGACTGTCAATCATCCCACACATCTCAGATCAAATTAAAAAAACCCTACATGATTCCTCACCCCTCTGCTCACGTCTGTACCCGTGGCACTACCGGCCGCGTTCAGATTTGTACTATTTGATTATTCCGTTTATAATGTTACATCACAGGCACGGAACAGTTTTCGATTGTGATAATTTGGTTTGACCACGGGTTTGTTAACTCTGGTCGTGGGTTCGTAGGAACACGTAGGGTCTATGTCAGTGGGAATATAGTGTGTGTAGATTTCAGGTGTTTGTGTAGACTGCTACAGATTCTAATTGTATTTCATTGTAAGTATATAATATTGTGTGTGCATTTTGCACGTGCTTTTAACATCGTTACTTTAAAGGAATTTACGATTTGTTTTTGTTCCATGTCATTGGACTTTTATTTTGTCACTCTGCAACCTACATAAAAAGTGTTACATTGACATTGAAATAATGTTATATATCGTAGGGGAAAGTATTACGTTAACCTTCATTAATTCCTAAATAGTAATGTTATTGTTTCTTGCTTCAGTTCCAAATATTTGAAATGGCCACTTCTGATAGTGAAGATTTTGAGAGTGCAGATGAAGACATAGAAATTCGGAGTGATCACACAGCATTGTGTTCTGCTGAGAAAGAGAAAGAATCAGACGCACATTCAAGAAATGAAGACGGTGACAACAAAAGAGAGAAGGCTCTTGTTCACCTCATGAATGAAATTGGAAGTGGAAAATTGCAGGAATATGCTCCTAATTGTATAAAAGATCCAGAGGTCTTTGATAGTTGTAATGAGGCCGATAAGTTAGATAGTGCACACTTAGGAGCAGGGAGTGATGTAAATATTTCATATGAAGGACCCATAAAAGATAAAACCAAAGACAATAAAAAAAGGGAACATGTAAAAAGGCATCAAAAGCCAAGGGAACCAAAATCTAGTAGATCAGTAAAAAAGCTTGGTACCAAAATTTCTTCCAGTGTTTTATATACAAGTTCAGAAAGTGAACGAGAGAAAGTGAAACAAGATTTGCTTTCATCAGAAAAATGTGAGGAGACAAGTAACCGGGCTCTTGCTGATACTCATGATGAGAAAGAAGGAAAGAGCATTCAAAGTCCTTCACACAGAATGGAAAATTTGGAACAAGAACTTGGAAAGTTGTCTGTTGAGGGCAGAGAACATGATATAGCATCGGTTCTGGAAAATTTGTCACAGTCTGCATCAGAGAAGGTTTGTGGAAGTAACTTATGATAATTATAACTTTCTAGGTTTATATATCTGTGTGAGATTCATGTTTATGTCTTATTTATAATGATATACAAGGGTGGTTCAGGGTTGACATAGATTTTACATTTTTAAAAGAATCTTATGCCGTAATAATCAAGTTTGAATTTTTTCTAGATACTGTTTCTACACATACATTTTGTTCCATTTCCATTTTCGAGGCATTGAAGCTGGCAGCATAAAAAGATGTAGTCTGGCTGAGTAGTCAGTTCAGGACATGATGCTTGGGTTCAGTATTTGTTTAGTGTACATGCCCACCTAGGTGCTCAGTCAGTGGTCCAAGCAAGCAAGCAAGCAAGGACTACTGGTTGGCTACACCTGAACCTTAAGGGGGGTGGTTCATGAGTTCCTGCCTAAGGTTGCTGATGTTTGTTGTTAGAAATCGCAATTTTTTCAGACCAACAATAATATTCAACATATAAACACTAGACAGTTTCGAAAGCTACATGTGTCATCAGTGAGATTATCTTCAATCAAGAGAGGCGTGTTGTATTCATCCATTATGGTCTATATAATGATCTTCCTCAAAATATACAAAGGTTGAGTGATAATGTGAAGATTTTTAAATGCACACTGAAAAGTTTCCTCACAACAAATGATTTTTATTCAGTAGATGAATATATTTCTGCTAAGCTTGTATAACATTTAATAACTATATTCCTTGTAATTTTGTTTATGAATGACACTGTAAATTATGGTTATTTTGTGCTTTTGGTTGTGTGTGGCTATTTGCTGTTGACACAATTGTATTCCTGCAATAAAGTCTTATTTTGACGAGTTCACTATTCAGTCCGATTCGGACAACAGACTGGTGAATTCATGAATTATGTATGTATGTCATCAGTGTCAAATCTTTTAGGTGCGCACGTGCATTTTCATGCACTACATTGATCTGTTTTAGCAATATTACGGTTAATTTCACTGACCACACAACATGTTTTTATTATTGTCACACTACACATTTCGACCTCATCCTCAGGTGTACGAACACAGTTGCACAATCACACGCAATCACATTCGTTTTCCACTTATTTCGATCCTGTATCCTGTTCAGGCCTATGCTCAATAATATATGTCAAGTTCTTCTTATAAAATACAAGTTAAAATACTATTCGAATGTTAAAATTTAAAAATTTAAAAAAATTTAAAATTTTTTTCGTGAGTCGAAGTTCAGTTTCGATCACTGGTTATACAGTGCGTACAATCAAGTGCGCGCCGCGGCTGCAATTTGCCGTGAGTCATACCACCGCAGAACGGATGCAGTCACGGGGAGGAGTTGCAACTCCTCCCCGCGACTGCATCCATTCTGCGGTGGTATGACTCACGGCAAATTGCAGCCGCGGCGCGCACTTGATTGTACGCACTGTACTTTCACATTCACTTGTTTCCACTGTGTATAGTTCACTTTAACTAGTTATATTATTACCACTGGTTAAAAAGTTCATGAATTAATGTTCAACTTATCATGTTGGCTGCACTTTCAATTTTTGAAGGTCTCGTTGCTCTTCCACGTCCTCTGACGCTGGATCTGTTACGTTCCTTGTCATGATGGCTACTCATGCCAATTCTTCCAACTCAGACTTTGGCCATCACAAATTCTTTCAGAATATGAACTGTGATAGGTGACTTGTATTGCATGCTTCATTGTATGACATAGCAGAACTGTGGTTTCTCTTTCCCAACAGGAAACAGAAGCTGACGGTAACTGGGGAGGATGGGGTGGTTGGGGAGTCACCTCATTATTGTCAACAGCAACAGAGAGTGTGTCAACCTTAACTACACATGTCTCACAGGTACTGTTCCAGCAGAATCTAAACTTAATTCTTTACAAAAAAGTGAAGAACATTTTGGAAATGGATCATTATATTTTAACATTGATGAAACTTGAGTGAGGTTTGAAGTTCTTACTGCATTGAATATCAAGAGTGCAGTCTTTTGGGATTTGGTACCATGCATGCAATTTTGTAGATACAAATCAAGCTTTTTGGTGTTACTTTCAAGAAGACCATAGCCTTCTAGAAGAGTACCATCTTCTTGAATGTGATGCCATGTAGCCTGGTAAATATGAACTGTGTAGATAATACCCTTCATAGTCATTGCTCTGAGAACTTCAAATCTAACATAACCTTTACTTGATTTAAGATTCTCACAGTGAAGACTATGAAGAGTTCTGTCTCCAGGGATATAATGCCATATAGTCCTATGAAATTCGATATTTCAGGACTCTTTCTTGCTGCCTGCTTCACATTTCTTGCTTTGTTTACTCTTCAACCCTCAAGATGGAAGGGATGTATTTCACTAGCATTATTTCCAGAAGACAGAACTCTTCATAATCATTGCTGTCAGAAGCTCAAATCCTACACAGAATACTTAAAGTTGAATTAAAAGTTTAAGCATGTGAAATTCTTTGTAAAGGAGTCTCGACTTAGTGTTCTGATCTGTAAAATAATAAAATAACATTTTATGGATGAAATAAAAGGTTACATCATGTCTCCTAGATGGTGGTACCTCCATTGAAGATATGTTAAATAAGATATAGATATTAGACATGCAGATATAGAGGTACTCATATAGATACATATTAGTCTAGTGATAATAAACTTGAAGTGTTGCACTATGTTGAAGCTTAACATAAAATAGTATGCAAAGGATAAATGCAATTGGGTACAATCAGACATTTCAGTCGTTTTGTTTCATATTCACAGAGGTCCTAGGTTGGTCAGACACTACTTATCCTGAGTGAGGTTTGCTGGGGGTTTTCTCAGTCACTCCAGGCAGATGCTGGGATAATACTACAAAATAAACCACAACCCCTAACTTCCATGTGCTTTCCAATTATTATTACACAATCATCCCACCATTTGATGCTGCGAAGTCTTAGCTACTGACAACATCAGTAAATAAATTGAGAATATTGCAAAGACTAAGTAAACACTTGACCCTTACTTCAGTTGCCCCTAGTTACAGTCTGTTCTGTACCTCAAGCATGCCTCTGCCTTGTTCACAGAATTCTACCAAGTTTCTTAATAAAATTTATAATAACCTGTTTTCATTTGCCTTCAGGGCTTGAGTACTGTTTTGGAGACAGGCATTGGTGCTCCAGATCCTGAAGAACTAGCTTGGCTGGAAAAGAAGGAAGAACTGAAGCAACACAAGGAAAAGAAACAAAATGAAACAAATGAATGTAAGTATCACATGTTTCATCAATACTAAACACTGTGATGGGGTCTTTCACAACATTACTGTGCCATTTAGCTATGTCTTATCTTCTGATTTGGTTATCTTCATCATTGTTAGGCTTTCCATTAGCTGCGGATGCTTTTGTAAAGGACATTACAGTTTGAAAGTTACCTAGTAAGTTGCTGATTCTAAACCATGCCCGTATTAGGTAGGTTCCTTGGCATGGTACATTCTCAGGTGCTGCAGAAGTGGCCTTCAGATACAGTGCCCTGCTATGAATATATTGACAACGGCCAACAAGGAGTAATCCTCCAGCTGTTAAGTTAGACAGGAAGATAATGACTACCTCTGTAAAAAAGTAAAATGTCATGAAATGTTACAAAGGGCCTTGGGCTTGGAGGAGAGATTCATTTGAATGGGGCTCAGGGTATGGTCAAGTGGCAGGCTGTTGGAAGTACAGTGCTATTACACAGGGCCTTGACCATGGAAAGATTATTTTGAATGGAGCTGTGGATATTTGAATCTGAATTTATTTATGTTCTGTAAATCTGAGTTCAAGTTGACACCACAGGATATGGAACAAATCAAGTATGGGTACATAATATCTGTACCACAGTAGTTTTGCTTGAAAAGTTAATAAAAATATAATACACTATTAATGTTACCATGATAATTGGATACATACAGCACATTCTGCAGATAAGCAAAATGATATAATAACATGCTTGGGAATACACTTTAGCTTAGAATTGATACAAGTTACTGTTTGTTTACATTGAAATAATCATTTATGGAGTAGAAGGAGTGAGTAAATAAGTAACATCATATGTTATAACCATCAAAACAACAAATAAAGCAGGAATATCTTGAAAGAAGACAACAGGTGTTGGTATGTGTGTATATATATATATATATATATATATCTTACTTATTTAATGCTAGTGTAAATTGGGCTACATATTTCAACCTATAATTTAGGTCATCATCAGGTACCTCTCTGTGATCTATAACTCAAGTGATTAATGTTAGTGGTCAAGATATGGATCCATATTTATGAAACTGATCTCTGTTGTTGCACGCGAATGCATGTTTACAGAGTGAGTAATGCAAATATCTATTTCAACAGAACGTACTTAGCTCATGGACATCATAAAACGCGTCAAACCTTCTCAAGGCAGCTTCTTTCTCGGCCCTCCATTTTTCCTTCAGGAGTTCCATCATCTGCCGTGAGTCCATTATCTTTTTGTGAGATAACACTTTATACACCCGTAAATTCGAGTATTCGTTGAGGCGTGTTGAAGTTCGCAAACCAATTCTGACACCAAATGTAACGCATTTAGTTACTGAAGACACCGTTCAGATTGTTAATTGGTTTATTTAACAACCTACAAGTATCAGCTACAATTGATTACAACACTGTTGCGGGTTTCCACAGTTTACAAACCCTATGCACTATTCAGTTCACTCTGTCCTCAGTAGTATACACGTATTAATTACGATACGGGAGCTATACAAGTGTCACTGTATCAAACACTCCCAATTATTACTCAGTTATCACAAACTATCACTGTTTATCACAGACGCGTCCGGTTCTTCTTTCTGCGACAGCTGCTATATTCCAACTCAACTCTAACGGTTCACTGCCACGTCACTGCTGGGTGAGCGAGGGGTTGTCCTCCATTGCGCAACATGTCACAATATTTACAAAGTATACAAGAGCAATTTACATATGAACGATGTACACATCGAGACACACAATCCAATATTTCAGACAGTGCATGAACTTTGTGATAGATAGCACTAGATACACTACTTAGGAGGGTATATAAGCAGGAACAACTACACAATGTTTAGTATACAGGAAGGCCGCACTAGTCACACATATACGGGAGAAGTACAACACACAAAAACGTAAGTACACAGATTTGTAACATTTGATATCAAATCAAATTCAGTTACAAATGAAACCAACTACATTATATTTCCTTATCTTATCTTATATATGAGGACAACCATGATAAAAATCATGAAGATATTTATACTGATCTAATGCTTACAAAAGTTTCAGAGTTGCAACATCAAGAAGAGCAGAAAGCTGAAGCTGAGTCAACTGGTCTCTTTGGGTTTGGACATCTCATGTCTGGTGTGTCATCAATAACAAGACTGGTGGAGAGCACAGGAAGCAGAGTTTTGACTGGAGGTTTGGATACCCTGGAGACAATCGGCAAGAAGACAATGGAAGTGCTGCAAGAAGGTGATCCTGGACTGAAGAAGAAGAGAGCATTGTTTACAAATAGAACTGTACTCTCACAGGTACTGCATGTTAATGTGGTGCATACGCATGCTCTCTGTGTCTTGTGGTTCTTCCGCACTTGTTGATCTAATTTCTAAATATGCATTGAGGCTCATAAAATTGGAGGTCACTCTCACAGTTCCAGTCCTAGTATGTCTGTCATAGGGACTAGGTTGGTGCAGCCATAGGCATGAGACGTATGTTTTGGAAGCTTGAATCTGGGTTGGATTACCAGCTATCTTGAGAGAGGCTTTACGTGGTTTTCCTTGCTCACTATAGGCAGATGTTAGGATAGTATCTTCTGATAGATCTAATAAATCTGGTTAATTTTTAATATCTTCCTACCTCAGTTGCTGAACATGATGTGTGCAATGGCTGCATTACTTAAGACTCGGTTGAATTAATTTAGTCAGTCAGATGTATTAGCCATATGAAAAACCACCTAACATCTGCATGATGAAAGCTGTTGTAGCTCAGTCAGTGTAGTGACTATGCTGTGGGCTGAATGGCCCAGGTTTTGAGTCTTGTCAGGGAAGAGGTGTGGAATTCTGCAGAAGTATAACTCCCAGTGTGCATTTGGCAGCCTTGGCTGAAATGCCCTTGCTCTTGTTACCTTGTCTAGGGCTAGTGTCTGGCAGCCACAGTATGACCTTTTACACACTACCGGAAAACCATTTTCTATGAGCAGATGCATTATCCTGTCTCGGTTAGTAAACCATTGTGAAACAGTTTTGTCCAGACATCAGTTAATACTGTGAGAGACTCATTTCATGTAGCCCCAGCCACCGAGCTTAACAAAATGCAGTCCCAGTATTTTCTTGATTTTTGTTAACACATGTCTCAAAGTAAGCTGTATATATAGGGCCACGCCATAGCTCAAGCGGTTAGTCCCTGGCTTCCAACCCCGGTGACCTGGGTTTGATCCCGGGTCTGGTCAAGTGGGATTTGTGGACAAAGTGGCGCTGGGGCAGGTTTTTTCCGAGTACTTCGGTTTCCTCCGCCAATCTTCATTCCACAAATTGCTCCACAATCACCCTCACCTATCATCTGGGGCTGGTACAATAGGCCAGAAGTGGCCACAGTACAAGGGGCTTAGTCCCACCCCACTAGCAATAAAAAAAAAGCTGTATATGTGAGGAGTGAATTTGAAACATCGATTTGTCCATTGAATTATCTTCTTTAAATAAATGATAAATGTACAGTCACCATTATGCCCAGTGTTGTTGTGTGTTTGTATGCATGTATCCTTTGCTTTAAGAAAGCATTTTTGTGGGGGATGTATTGCAGGTGCTGAGAGAAGCAAAGGAGAAGGCTGAGAGAGAAACAAAAGAAGTTGAAGATAACAAGGCTGCAAGGAAAGCACATTTTGAAACACTATTTGATGATTATCAAGGTATTATCAAACTGGAAGGTGTCATTAGATCATTAGGTATTTGTTTACAAAGTGAAAGAAAACAATTCTTTATTTGTGTCTGTGTGTCTGTAACCTAGTATCAATGCCCAAACTGTTTCTTTAATTTGATGTGGGGGGGGGACTCACAAAACACAAGATGCTACTGATTTTCTGTCTTGTTTTTCCATAACAAAGTGTACTTTATATGAGGCCATAAATGGACTTTTCCGTGTACGTCATAAACTGTTAAGCAAATTTTGATGAAATTCCATTTGTGGAATCTTTGCATAATGTCAGCTAGCCATTTACATATTTAGCAATATTGTCCAATTTCAAAGACTATTTTACATAAGGCCATATATCACATAAACTGTTTAATGCATTTTGTTGAAATTTGATACTGTGCATCATTGTGGTGTTCAAAAATAAATTTTGCTCCTTTATCTCATAATTCTTTTTTGCTGGAAGGCGGATTTATCAGCAGTGCCTCTGGATGTGACACTTTCTCAAGACTGCGCTTGTTGTAGTGTCAGTTTCTTATTGCTGTAAAATCATTAGACTGCCATGGTGATTGTGTTTCTAAACAAAGAATTTAACACACCAGTGCCATTTTTGTCGCTCTAGCAGATTACATTACTAACTAGGCCTTCGCTTGATTTTCTACATCATATAGTGTTGGAGAATAAAGGCTGTGATATTCTGACTTTTTCACATTTTGAATCTTGCATTATAACTGGAAAAATATATTAATTTTAATGTTGTCTTGCCATTTATTAGTCATAAACATTACTCTTAATAGATTTCATTCATGAGTTCCTAATTTTAAGATAATTTATTTCAAAGTTAAACATACCCTATAAGACCTGGGTGTCTGAATTCTAGTAATGAAACGTCTGACACCCCACCATCCATGGGCCTGCTTCCCATGACCTTAGTATGATACAAAATGGTTTCTCCTTTAAGTGGGTCTCATGGTAGAGAAAAATGCATCTACAAAATACTTCAAAACAAGTAACAAAGAGGTTTCCGGTATCAGAATAAATATATTAAATTGTATGCCTATGCATCACTCCATGAAGGCATACATATTTCTTAGATAGGTAGAGAAGATGAGAGGCTAGCTTCATGCTGGAACAAACTTTCCGTTGGGAAAATTGCCCCCAGGAACTCACTGCTCAAAATGCTCTTGTTTCGAGTCTCTGAGCCTATGTGAATGAGGTAGTGAAAAGAAAAACCCAAAGTACACCTACCCAGAATTAAACCTCAGCTGTCCTAACCTTAGTCTGTTACTTTATGAATCAGCTGTTATGGTTCACTTTCAGAATTATTGAAAGGTTTAAATATGGTGCATGTGCTATGTGTAGCTGAGTCCTTGATATGTGACTAGATGTATTTGCAAACCTGTAAGGGCTGGTACACTTGGAAGCACTGGAGATGTTATCGAAGCAGTGCGACATCAAGCTGCAGTCCTTGCTGTTGACCAGCAGTGGGACAGCTCTTAGTGAGCTCCAACAGTCTCTGCAGGAAGTGAAGGATCTGTGTCAGCTCCCAGATGATGAAGACACCGAGGAAGAAGAGGGTGATGCTGTGGACTGGAGAGGAAAGCTCGATGCTGCAACTGAGGGACTAGGAGTCCCTGTTGCTACCGATAAACTGAACAGGGTAAGATTCTGACATGGTATCTGAGGCTTTCTTTGTATTATGTTTGGAAAACAATTGAATCAGAAGTATTCATCTGTTATGCCCCTAGGGCCATAACAGGGAATTGGAACGGGCCCAGAGGTGCCTCATTGGAAGAAATAGGAATGAGAACAGACTTGCCTAGCAGATGGCCAGTTTCAATTGTAAAACACTGAGACATCAGTGATGACATATGCTGTAACTTGAGCAATTGTAACTAAGTCATTGTAAAATTGCTGATGAATTGAAGTCAGTTATTATACAGTTATTATTATTATTATTATTATTATTATTATTATTATTATTATTATTATTGTTGTATACCTTAGGTCAGGAGTATATGAAGGCCATTTCATAGCAAAATGTTAGCAGGTGCCAAAGGCTGCTATGCTTGAGGCCACCTTAACTTTTTGAGTAAAAGTAACACAGCAGACACCGTGAATGTCCATATAGTCAGTACAAGCTCTCATAAGAGGACTTGCTATTGGATCAGTGGAGCACCTTGCTATTGTCACCACTGTCACTGTGGTGGTCTTGCATAGTATAAACAGTCAGCGAGTGTATATGTAGGACCTGACCTTGGGTGAGTAGGATGAAGGTCATCAGTTGAAGTCAATTCCATAACTATATACTGTACTACAGCAGCAGTGATGTAAATAGACAACCCCTAGTGTCACAAACTTATTCCACAAAAATCCCACCTCGCAAGGAGATTACGGTTAGACTGTGGTGACAGCAACATGTAATGATATGTTAAATTAAGTGTGGACCTCCCCTCAATCCTTAGTCCTCAAACCTGAGATTCTTTGATAGGAATGACAGTCTGTACTGACCCATTTGAGAAGCCAGTAAGGTACTGGGGTGGAGGGCAGTTCTTGATATATTTAGCAAGGAAGTTAGGGAGGCCTCTGAACTCTAGGATGGATGTAGCTCAGGTGCAGATGTGCCTATGTTAACTCCATTCCCCTTCTGAACTACCATTATCGGTACCATCTTCACTGTGGTCCGACTGTGATGGAACATCATCTGTAAGTGTTTCTTTATAGGTGGAAAGATTGTTCATATTGCAACTTTTATTTGGAACAGTTACTGCCTCATCGAGCATCTCACCACTTATGTTCTTGATGTCATTTCTTTCTTGTCCAATACTATTTCACGTTGATACTAATGCACTGTTTCATTTCTGTTTCTCTTTTCATTGACCACATACATCTGTAATACTCAGCAACTTGACCCAGACTCTGCCTTCTTGCCTTCCAGTGACAATTTTAAGGCTGCAGTCATTATAGAAGTCTGTTGTGAGTTCTCATTTACTCCTTGGCCTTCAGTAATCTTCTGAACCATCAGCAGGGGCAAGGCGGGGAGTCCTGATGTTTGCTGAAAGAGGTGTGCTCAAACCCCCCCCATCACTCAGCACATGCAACAATATGTAGTACTTACATCAGAGATCAGTGTATTTGTAACCTAGAGTCAAAGAGAATTTTAACAGAAAGAAATAACCCTATACTTGTATTTTTTTCTTATTCTTCTCTGTACTAAGCATTTTATATCTTTGAATGTTATTTCCATTTTGTACAGGTCAGTGGATGCAAAGTCTACCGTCACTTCCATCTTCCTGCTTGCCTTTCCTTTTGAATTCCTTGCCATCTGTTTGCTCTCTTTGTATGTCTCCTAATACCTGGCTGGACCATCTTTTTATGTTTCATGACACAGATGTTTTTTCTTTAAAGACAAATTCTGAAATCTTCTCAGTGTTTGTGTTATATCCATTGTTTTTACACAGCCAAGCCATTGTATTCATTTCACCTCTAATTCTGTTAACAAAGTCTGGATTTAAAGTTCTCCTCTGAAAATATTATTTCCAGTTCTTGTAAGATCCAAGGTTCTTACAGCACTGACCATGAAGTTTAATGTCTTATGAGATGGGACACCATCTAGCCTGGTAGGAGTACATTATTGTTTCAGAAGAAAATGCTGCATGTTCATTAAAAAAGTCAGTAAAGTTTTACCATGATATATGATGTTACATCCCAGAAGGTGGTAATCTTCTTATCCTTTCTTGTTTTTCTCTCATTAGTTCTCAGAAATTGTGGGATATTATGCCATGTAGTCTGATTCACTGTTCACTGATTTTGGGGGAATGTACTGCCTCCATCTTCAGGGTTGGAGAGTAAGCCAAGCAAGTCAGAGCTGTGCTTGCTGCTTGCTTCTTCCTGGTAGTCTTTGACTTGAAGATGGAGGCAGCTCATCATTTTGAAACACTGGTGAATATCAGTATGACTGTACAGCATATCATCGCAAAAGATTGTACTATTTGTAGTCAGTGCTGTGGGAACCTCAGATACTACATACATTTCTTTTGCTTGGATTGGTTTTGTTTCCATTTGTTTTTGTTCTTTTTGGAAGTGGTGGTGGGGGGGGGGGCTGGAGGCAACAGTTGTTTGTTTATATAACATCCAATGTAATGTAGTGTTACCATTTCCTTTTCACCTAGACATGGGACATGGCACAGGGTTGGCTTGGAGACTGTCGTGCCAGTCAGAAATCCCCAGACAGTGATAAAGTAGTTAATGCACGTGACATTCATCAGAAAGCAATCGCAACTCTGGCACAGTTTACGGCTGAATCTGTTGAACAGTTCCACAAAGCTGCTGAGCTCCTACTCATTAAAGATGGTCGGAGTCCCACAGAAGAAGCACAGACTTTACTGCAGTGAGTTGAATTATTGGTAAAATGAATTGTCATGTCTTGTACTTTCCTGGATAATAACAGAACATAAGGTCAGAACATCTGTATTATAGAGCAATAGTTCTTGTATGTGCTGGTCATGGTAGCTGAGTTTTTCTAAAGCATGCACTGTATTCACTTGTTTGGAAGCTGGGATCGTGGGTTCAGATTCCACTCAGGGCATGGATGTTCAGTGTTTGTGTGTATGTGTGCGTTTTTCTGTGTTTGTGTACAGGTAGAGGCCTTGTGATGAGCTGATCACCCACCCAAGGGGTCCTACTGAATGTCTAAGATCTAGTAAACTGAAGTCAAATGGGGAGTTTCATGGAAGTAGGCCAAGGCCCAAATTGGGGCTGTAGCACCACAGGAAAAAAAAAGTTCTTGTATGTGTCTGATGGAACTGGAACATAGTAACTGTTTCTTACAAACTTTGAGTGTGACCCCACCCCCCACTCTCTTTTACACTGTCTGCTATGGCTCAAATCATATGGGGATGCTGACTGAGATGTGGCATGCAATCATTAATCAAAAAGAAAATCAGGAAACATAGTACAGCCTGCACATTGTCTGCTGTGTGTAAGGTGAAAACCTCCAACTTATGGGAAACCCAAAACTTGCCTTGGTAGACACCATGCAGATGAGCTGCTTGGTCCCAGAGGCAGCAGTAAATCCAAACAAGCTTATAAATGCAGCCAGATGAAATTTGTGTTATTGTCCCAGTGGTAGTTCTCCCAGAGCAGCAAAGGTAAGGGGTGAACCTGGGTGGAAAAGGTAGGGGTAGGGGTTATGCATGCACACAATAAGCCTAGAAAGATGGAGAGGTCAGCCGAATACACAGCTGCATGGGTGTGTTCCACACAGCACGTTTATTTCAAGATTTGAAATATATAAAATAAATAAAGGAATACCTCAGATCGGGTTTCTTTATAACTGTGGATCAAACAGGATACCTATTTTTTGCCAGTGAATCTGTATTGGGGTTCTGAATTTTGGGTTCTCAAAGTAGTGATTATGAAGAATAATATCTTCTGAGAAATGACACCATGTAGTCTGGAAGAAGTTCACAGATGTTTCAGAGGAACGTGTAAGGTAAGCAAGCAGAGCTCTGCCTACCCCTTGACCCTGAAGTTGGATGTGGTATATTCCTATGATATAATGGTCAACTTCTGTTAAGTTATGCAGTAGCACATCCCAGAAGATAGTATTCTTCAGTATTAGGTTTCTTTGTGGTTACAAGTTTCTCTTTGGATTCAGATGAATAGTCAACTTGTCTAAATCTATTTGTACATGAGTACTGTTGTTACAGTCATTTCTAAGCTTTGTATTGAGGTGTAGTGAGAGCATGTGGCAGACCATTTTGTCAGTACTGTAATTTGCTTGTCTTGCAGGGTCACATCCATTCTGTCATCTCAAGTCAGTGCTGTGGCCACTGCCTTCTCTGAATGCCTGAATGCTGCCACAGAAAATTCATCTGATCCTGATGCTGTTAATACACTTATCACTAGTGTGTTTCTAGAGGTAAGGAGATTTGAGATTTTATTTTATTATGCATGTTGATCAGGGAGGAGGAGGGGGAATTGATGACAGAATATAAATATTGGCTGATCATGAAAGAAGCAAATGTTATAAATTTTACAAATTATTAATTTTGTACATTAAATATCATACACATTATATTTATTAATTAATTTTTGTGACACTGTGTTTCCAGAATTGAATCAGCATATTGATTTCTGTCTGTTAAATAACTAGTCTTACATAAATCTCATTGGCGATAACATACATATCATAAAGAAAAACGCAAAAGCTGTAATTGATGATAGTAAGGAAGTTGGTCTAGAAGTAAACCCAGAGAAAACTAAGCACATGTTGCTGCCTCGTCACAGGAATACAGGGCAAAATCATGACATAAAGATAGCTAGTAGATGCTTTGAATATGTAGCACAATTTAAATATTTGGGAATGACAATAAAATAACAGAATTTAGTGCAGGAAGAAATTAAGAAGAGATTGAATTCTGGTGATGCTTGCTACCATTCAGTCTTTTATCTTCTCATCTTCTGTCTAAAAAACATAACAGTTAGAATATACAAAACTATTGTAACATGGATGCCCAAAGCGTTTCTAGGTAATGACTAGATAAACACATTCTCATGAATATGCAACAATGGAAACTGTGTTCGCTGTGAGCTATGCTACAGCTAGTTGCTAGGTGAAGCATTACTGACAATGGAGGAGAGTGTTTTCTATGTGGTCCACGCCATGACTGTTGCTATGAAACGACAAGGTAAACATGCCCCTACAAAAGTAGAGAGACTTTTCTGTGGTGTCCATGCTGTGGCTGTATAACAAGAGCCGTGAGCCATAAGTTCAGAGTGATAGTGACAGTGAGAGTGAATTGAGCTAGGAGTGGAGAGTTCAAGTTCAGGTTCAAGACAGAATTGGTTCAGAATTAGTTATGAGTGACAGAACCAGTTTAGAGCAAAATTCTGAGTTACAAGTTATGAGTGAATAATAGCGGCGAAAGGACACCGACAGAGGTGAGACGAAACCAGCAGAGCTGGACAGAGGACTCGGCTAAGAAATGGAATATGACACATTAAGTCAGGTTGCATCATGTGGAAGACTATTTTTGAGTAACTGTAATTTAGTTGTAATCAGCTTATCCAAGAAATCGCTTCATCTAATCCGGAACCCATTAGCTTGGCGCATTACGAGGATATGTGGTACTATAATTTTGCTTGTGGTTCTGTATGGGTGTGAAAGTTGGTTTCTGACATTAAGGGAGGAACATAGACTGATGGTGTTTGCAAACAGGGTGTTGAGAATATTTGGATTGAAGAGGGATGAAGTGATGGGAGGTTGGAGAAAACTGCATAAGGAGGAGCTTTATAACTTGTACTCTTTGCCAGGTGTAATTAGAATTGTGAATTTAAGGAAGATTAGATTGGCAGGGCATGTAGCACGAATTGACGAGAAAAGGAATGCATATAGGATTTTGGTGGGGAAGCCAGAAGGAAAGAGACCACTAGGAAGACAAAGACATAGGTGGGTAGATAACATTAAAATGGATGTTAGAGAGATAGGATGGGGTGGTATGGACTGGATTGATCTGGCTTAGGATAGGAACCAGTGGAGGGCTCTTGTGAACATGGTAATGAACCTTGGGGTTCCATAAAATGCTGGGAAATTCCTGAGCAGCTGCTCAACTGATGACTTCTCAAGAAGGACTTGGCTCCATGAAGTTAGTTACATAAACAGTTTATCAACAGGTAAAGCACAGTGTTTTGTATATGATTCAAACCTTTTATGGTGACAGTATGCTTTGATGTCCTCTCAGGCTGTCAGCTGTGTCAATATTAATTTTGTATCTGATGTTCTAGGGGCTCTCTCTGTCTCTGTCAGATGTTGGTGTGATGAACAAGAGTTCACATGCTGTATGTATATACAGAGTAATATGTCAGCTTTCCTATTGTTTACCATGTGGAGAACAGTGGTGCAGTCAAGTTTGTGAGGAAGCATCAGTGATAAGCAACATGGATTGTGAGAACTGACCAACTGACTTCGTGCTCTGTTCCCTATATGGTCTAAGCTGAAGCACTCACCACTGACTGACCCTGCCCACTGTTCAACATATGTCCCAGACTGGGGCAGAGGACAGCTTTGGGTACAAATATAGCACAAAGACACAACACTCATCACATCAACTTCTGATGATGGAGACAGAGACTGCAGTCTTTGAGTCTTAAGACATGAACTTCACATTGACACAACTGATTGCCTTAGGTGATTCCATTGAATATCTTTGTTTAATTTTTAGGCAGCCAACAGCAGCTCATACATCCAGGAAGCATTCCAACTGTTGGTGCCTGTGCTGGAAGTTGCATTGATCAAGTAGGGCAGCTGCTGTGTTGTGTGTGCAGAATTATCTCACAGCAAGGAACCAGGACTGAAGTGAAGCAAAGCGCTGGGGAGTTTGACAACGCAGTCTTCGCTTCCAGTTTTATGTTATAACTTATCTTGTAGTGACATTCCAAGTGCATAAGCACAAATTGTATATTGTGGTAGCTCTGGTTTGTACTTCCTGTTCATGTGTGGCAGAAAATCAGACAAGTAGTATGCTGACATCTGTGGTACCAGTGTCAGCTTAGGTTTCTGGGTGGTGGATTCAAAGTTGCGCTCAGTTATCCTACCTTGATACTATCATCATAAGGCCACACTGAAGTTGATTTTTTAAATACTGTTGAGGCGTTGTTCTAGGGTAGTGATGAGGAGGGGGAGGGAGACAGGAAATTTACTAAAGAAGATGTTGAGTGTTGTGAATCTTGGATAGCAGGGTTGAAAGAAGAGGCAGTGAAATGAGGGGTGAAGGGTGTGAGAGAATTGTATCTGTACATAGAGGAATTAAATTTTGCATGCATGAAAAGTGCTGAAGTAAAGTTACCATGGTACTCAAAACATTAATGTACATAAAATAAAATAAACAGAACTTTTGTGTGTGACATATTTTCCAGTTTCAAGAATTGTTCCTAGGGACATGTTACTATGTAGTCTGCTAGATGTTTATATCATCTCAAAGGATTGTGCTGCTTTTATCTTCAGAGTAGAAGATTTTCTTCTGTCCTACAGACAGAGGTAGAATGTTCCTCCAAACCATTACCAGACATCTGCCAGACTATGGGGCTTCAAATCCTAAGGGGCAGTATTCTTCATAGTCTTCACTGTGAGAACCTCAGACATTTTTCATTTTGGTCAAATTGAGCAAGATAATAGTGGCCTTGTGATAAAGCAGATGATACAGACAATCAAATATCTTCATGGTATAAAGAATGCCTGAAACAGACATGATCAATGTAGAAACTTTTGCAGACACAAAATTATAAACGCATTTTCACCCAGCCTCTCAGTGGGCAATTTAATTGTTCAGCCCAGGGTTTTTAAATGCCAGAATACCTTCTGTGCATTCATTGACCAGAAAAATCCAGAAACACTCTGCTCATAAACTATGACACACAGGAATCTGAAACTTCGTGTATACCTTCTGGAGATGTGTCAGTACACTTTGAAGAGTATGGTACCTGGTATCACATTTCCCAGGACGTAGAGGAAGACGACACTTCTGACAACACCACCTAGTTTCGCCAATGTTTTTTTGTTTTTTTAAACACACACTGCATCTTGTTGGGCTACTGTCACTTCTAGCTGCTGGAAATTTCAGTAAAACATGATTCCTTGCCCTGCCATCTAGCCGAAATGGAGGGTCTTATGTAGGGACAATTTTTTGTGGCAAAATATCCGGAGGTTGCATTGATGATGATGCAGGAGAAGCTGATTCCACGCATGCAGGTGATGAAGGAACACTGGATATTTCCTTTTCATTTCCCAGAAGTAAGATACAGGACACAATTTTCATGCGGTACAGATATCAAATTCTTACTTCTTGATTTGACTCTACAAATAGTCAGAAGGTATTAATTGGTTATTGATGTCATCCCTCCTGCTGTCACTGAAGAGGAGAAATGGCAAAATACTTTCTAAACGATCCCATGCCATTGTTTTTGTAAACACTGGAGTTTCAGAAACTGGATATTCGGACCAATAGAGTTTGGTGGTAGATTTATTTATTTCAATCAAAAAAAACATCAAGGCCCAAAATTTTTTCAGTTCTGGTAGTGTCTGGTCAGTGTTTGAATGTGTGAATGTTTTGTGAAAGGGCATGGTGCAGCACTAATCACCTGGTTAGCATACACATTGGTTTGTTCGCAGTTATACTCAAGAAAATTATTTGTAATAAAAATTCACAAAAGACATAATAGCAGTCTTCTGAATGCATACAACGCTGTATGCTATATGATCATCATTTGAATGAGGAATGTTTGATGCATTAATATCTGACCTAAGTTGGATACAGGCCTCTACATACAGGAACGCTTATCCGACCACCAGTTGATGTGGGAGCAAAAGCGTTAAGTACTGTTATTCCTAAACATTGTTAATGTAAGTATTTATTGGCTATATTTGGTTTGTAAGCTTCTTTACCTTTCTTTTACATTCTTTCCCAGTGGGGAAATTGGGTTGGATCGGAAACTGACCACTGACCTCCGTGTAGTCCATGTGACTGTCACTTGCTTCACTACAAACTCTGCTACTCATATAAACAAATTAGACAAATTTGTTGTCCAGTTACCTGACTGCTGTCACTTGCTGTCCACTTAATATATTCAGGGGGAATGGAAAATAATGGAAACACTAAGAAATTTAGTAATAGAATTTGTGTTGGCTACATTGAAAGAAGTTAAGTTGGCAACACTCAATGTTCCTCCATTTGTTTACACTCTGGAGTTCATGTCAGTGCATTACTGATTGTGCTGAGTGACAGTCCATGTGAAACAATCAGAAAATGGGGAAATTTGTCCAGTTTTTTAAAGAAAGAAGATTATTTATGCATGTTTAGCTGGAGGATCTGTGACGAAAATTGCCACATTGTTAGGTGTATCGAAAGCGACAGTTTCAAAGGTTATATTGGCATACACGAATCACGGGAAGACAATATCAGTGAAAATCAATAATGACAGAAAGAGATCGTCATACACTGAGAACGATTGTTTCACAGAATCACAGAACTACTGCAACACTGGTGACAGCAGAAGTGAATATTCTTTTGAAGACTGTTTCCACAAAAACTTCAGTGTGAGCTTCATGAATCAAACATCCACAGTAAGGCTGCATTTGCTAAACCTCAGCTTGCTGAAATTAATGCTCAGATGTGTAAACAATGGTGTCACAACCATGAAACCTGGATATCAGACAACTGGAAATCCATGCATGATATGGTCAGATGAGTCGTCCTTCATGCTGTTTGCTACTTCAGGAAGAGTTTACATTTGGAGAACACCCAAGGAAGCCTGCAATCCGGAATGTCTGGTTCGGTTGCAACAGTGAAACACAAGGGAGGTTTTATGATGGTTTGTGCAGCAATGTTGAGGTACAGTATTCTGTTGGCTCCATTGTTACCCTTCATGGCAGAATTACTGCAAGGGAGTATGTGGACAGGTTGGGTAATCAGATGCATCCCATGATCCGGACACTGTTTCTGAATAATGATGCAGCTTTCCAAGATGACAATTCACACAGCTGGAACTGTTCAGTCTTAGCTTGAAGAGCATGAAGGTGAACTTCAGTATCTTCCATGGCCAGCATAAACACCAGATCTGAACATCATTGATCCATTCTGGTCAGTTTTGGAGATTAGAATGGGGAACAGATTCCCACCTCCGACATCTCGAAAGCAACTAGATAATCTTCAAGAAGAATGGTATAAAATTCTGGTAGATATTGTTCAAAATTTGTTCTAGTCCATTCCAAGAAGGATTGCAGTTATATTGAAAGCAAAAGGTGGTCCATTTCCATATTAATAAAGAAAAATATACAGTTATCTGTAGTGAAGAAAGTAGTTTTCTGGGATGTGGCACCGTGCAGATGTGGTGTTAACCAACGTTACAGAGGAACGTACCGCCTCCACCTTCAGGGTTGAAGGAAAAATAAGAAATCTGCTTGTACCGGTTCTCATGGTCTCTTCACTTGTGGATTTCTTATTTTTCCTTCTACCCTGAAGGTGGAGGCGGTACGTTCCTCTGTAACGTTGGTTAACACCACATCTGCACGGTGCCACATCCCAGAAGACTGCTTTCTTCATAGTCACTGCCGTGAAAACCTCAAATCTTGCGTAATATCTGTAGTGTTTACATTATTTTGTCCATTTCTGTATTTGTTTCCACTCATGTTAAAACAATGAGTTCTGCTGCGTAAAACAATGAGTTCTGCTGCGTGCAATGTAATATGGTTTCTAAGGTGTGATACGAACAATTTTAGATGAGAACTTTAATCCTTTTCATGCTACAGACATACATATATATCCTTTGATACTTCTTTAGTCTGAATTAGCAAAACAAACTCAGTTTAGAAGTGGCTAATTATAAGAACTTCATGAAATGAATATGTTTATGGAGTGTCTCACAGATGGATTTTCTTTCTGTGCCAGTATTATTGCTTACTGTGCATGATTTATAATACATTAATATAACCGAAAAACTATGTTCCATGTAGCTTTAAGTGTAATTTGTGATCAACTTTATGAAGTTGAATGCAGGTATCTCTGATAGAAACAGAATTTTCTTTCAAGTTTCCTAAACAGAAGTATTCTATGTATGTTGTAGCTCACAGTGGCCTTTCCATTTCAGTAAGGAGGTGGATTGATGTAAATGACATGTTCATACTTCAAGGGTGAAGGCATACCAAGGAAACTGGCCACTGCAATGCCACCACAATTTTCGAGAACTGTTATCAGCTTGAGTTGAACACATGTTACTGAATGGAATAGAGCAAATTGAGGAAACTGCTTTACCGTTTCCTCAATATGCTCTGCTCCATTCAGTAACATGTGTTCGTCTCAGGCTGATAACAATTCTCGGAAATTGCTGTTGCCAGTTTCCTTGGTGTGCCCTCACCCTAACAGGCACTGGTGAGAAACTTTCTCTTGGTGAATATAAGCAGAGTGATATTAAATTTTCCAAAAAAAAAAAAAAAACAAGTAAGAACCTACTCAGTAAAAGCGATCAGGTTGCAAAAGTATTTATTGCTCTTCCTGCGAAATAGGCGTTCGGTGGAGGGAGTAATACGCAATAGGCCAATGCTATGATAGCATACCTTCTTTCCGATCGTGCTCTCGGCGCTGGAGGCGGCCATTTTGAATCTACAGATTTTCAGCTGCATAGAGATGGCAACACTATTACCTTTATGTCGGCACCGAGGCGACTGCGGCCATGTAACTCACCATTTGAATTTTGACTGGGTGGAAGTGTGCGTGCATAAGGGAGCTAAGAGAGGAAGCAGCTTGGTCCTGTGGTTTGTGGTTCCGGTATGTTGAAAGCGTGTTAATGCATGGGATAAAAGTGCAGTGATGAAGGTAGCTTTTATGGTTGCTGAGAAGCCTTCATTGGCCGCATCGTTAGCAAATATATTGAGCAATGGAAAAAATTCGTCAAGGAAAGGTAAAATGCTGATCAAAATCACATATTTCTTGTAGTAGGTGCACCATGTTTCAGACGCCATTACTACCATGTGTTTTTTTTTGGGGGGGGGGCTGAATTACTCTCGTTAGATCGATGCTTCCCGGTTTTGAGATTGTTTCTCTCAGGTTTAGTACGTGAAATTCTGTAATATAAATACAGAGAAATGTTCCAGTGCTGACCTGTAATCACATTCACAGAAAAGAAAAATCCAGCAGAAATTGTATGAAAATGATAGTAGATCCCACACTTTTACACAATTTTATGCACCACAGTACCACTAAAATTCGTAGGGATAAGGGATTTTGCGTTTGTACAACGGGAATATTGGGAGCCGGAATGGCTCAGTCGGTGTAACGACTGGCTACGGGCTGGGCGACCGAGGTTGTGGGTTCGAGTCCCGGTAGGATCAAGAGTTTTCTCTTCTCCATGTCGTTCAGACCAGCTCTGGCGCCCACCCGGTCTCGTATTCAATGGGAACCGAGGGTAAGGCGCCTGGGGCGCGAAGCTGACCACTCACCACCAAATAGTGCCGAGGTCAAGAAAATGTGGCTATACATCCATTCCCCCATACGCCTTCATAGCGTAGTGCGTAATTAGTAAAGCACAGGGACTTTACCCTTTTACACCGTGAATATTAACACATTGCGGACCGGTGGTTTAAACATTTAAATCACCCTGGGGACCGGCGTTTTTAAACCTACTACCCTAACTTGTGCACTATTCACTTTAAAAATTAATATAAAATCTCCTAATTATTTTTATGAACTGAAATTTTTGGAGAACACTTACCAGAGCTCCTAGTATTGCTTGCGCGTGTGATATCTCTGGAAACATTCCCTTTAGTGAAGACGCATTATGCAGAAGTTGCACATGTAGGCAGTTCTACTCTTCTTCTTGTGCTCTGCGCACACATGGCACTGCCTAGAAGGGTGTTTCTTCTTGCAATATTCACTCTTCACAATTTTCACGAGAATATGTTTCCGCATATCACCTGAGAGTCGGCCAGGGGGGTTTACTTGAGGCCTGCATTACGTCTGTGTCTGACGCAGGTACTGCCGCCACCGTGACGTCAGTAGCCCAAGCTTTTGCCAGTTTCAACAGAAATGCTTTGTATTTC